AAAGTGTGCACCCAAATGTACATCATTACATCTGTTGTACAATGTACATTTGTTGTACAGCTGTTAATTGAAAAGCAGCATAGTATTATTTTTTTTTAAATGATGGGGTAATTACACCAGGGGTACTTGGAGGTGGATTCTTTGTATGCTGGACTCAAGGCCTAAACAAGCACAAATTCTGTCAACCTAAATTCTACCAATTAATTACGTAGTAAAGCATTTGTGAAACTTTCCCCCTTCTCATTGTTTCCAGTTTCTGACCTTTTCTAAATGACCCTGAATATAAGGCCTTCAATCCACAAAGCCTACTTGCCTGTCAAGCAAGACTCTAATGTCCTTTGTCTCTATAGTAAATAACTAAAAGGCTTTGTGCAATTAGAGCGAGCTTAGCTTTGTGCAAGCAGGGTCTAGCTTAAAGATATTTTATAGATTTGAGTTCTTTCTCTACTTATCCTCTCATTTCTCTTGGTGTCAGGAAAAGAAGAGAGCCGCTGATGAATAGAAGAGGAGGAGGGTCAGAGAGAAAAGGATGGAATGCAAAATATGAAGGAAGATGGACTACAAGTGGAATCTGAGTCCAAGAGGAAAGCAAATATAGAATGGCTTTATTTATAAGAGGACTAAGAACACATGGTAAAAAACTACATATAAGAAGCAAAGGAAAAATTATTATTTCCACTTATATTCTTCTGATCAGAAACAATGTCTTAATGTCGATTTTGGTGCTTCAGAAAGCTGATTAGATATCACCCCAAGGCTGTTTAACAAATAATGCAGTCTAGTTAAGGACAATGGACTAGACCTAGCTTATATCTTGAATAAGCTTGTAAACTAATGGTGGATCGCAATGAACACAAAACAGAAAAACTGAGGTAGAGCAGAAAACGGGGCAGTGCCTATGGGTACCATCATTTTTCTAAATCAAGGCCATTTCAAATATTACCTGACACAGTAGGGAGGGAGCTACTAAGCAGAAATTAAAGGGAATTTCTGAGCACCAGTGTCTTGATTTGTTATGGAAGGGATGATAATACCTACACCTTTACTATACCAGGGTGATGCAAAGCTTAAAAACAGGTATTTAAAAGTTCTTTACATCATTAGAAACATCATAACACACAGCCTTTATTGTGATACCATATATGCCTCCCACACAAATTTGTAACTGGTTAAAGTTGCTTCTAACACTTTGTATTTGTTTCCAATGGGACAAGAAAAATTTTAAGGATGCCATCTACCTATGATTTGTCTGTAAACATTCCGGAGTCTAGTACATTAATTTCACATAATGAATGCTCTCATTATTAGTTATTATTATTAGAATCACTACTATAGGGTTTATTCCTTTTAAAAATGTATGTAAACTCTGAAAAATTTTTATTATACATTTATGCTGAGAATTTTATTGAAAATGATCATCAAATTTTGACATCCCGTAACTCTCAAATAATAGGGAGTTCTTTAAACTTATTGCAGACCATATTATAATAAATCTTCCTTGAGAATTGAGGGAGGGGGTTGAGTGTGGTGGGGGGTAGGGACAATAATGCACATCTCTTCAAAGAGAATTCAATGGTGATAAAATAATTGTGCCTAAGTGGACTCTAGGATCTGAACAAAGGTAAGACATTAGCATTTCCATTCCTATAACTTCTGAGACAATAACTGAGACTTGATATAATACTTAGTTCCAATATATTTTAATTCAATTTAATTTTTGCACATTTTAATTCACTCTTTCATCTTGTACAGTGTGTGACCTCAATTTAACTTCATGTTTAAGATTCTCAGAAGTTCCAGGGAGGGCCTTTGGATCAGAGAAGCAAGTTGTATCTTTTCAGAGTCTAAACTATGGGCCCAATGGTACTTCTGAAGAAAAACAAGAACATACGGCTCCATACCCCCGGCCCCCAACCACCTACTGGCAACCAGAAAGCACTTGGTAACAAACCAATAATTATGGTTAGTGAGTTCAGATTATTAATAAACTTAATTCTGAGGGTAAAACATTGTAACTGTATTAGTTTGTTAAGGTTGTGTAACAAAACACCACACTGAGAAACTTAAACAGCTAAGTGTATCTTAAGATTAAGGGCCTCCAGGGTGGCGCAGTGGTTGAGCCCCCAGCTTTGAAGCTGTCCCGCAGCCTCTGCAGTGTCGGTTCGATTCCCCGCCGGCCAGGGAAAACCCCACATGGCACAGCAGACCTCTCCTGCCTCGCCTGCTGCTCCCCTCAGCAGTGTCTTCGCTCTGTCTGCCTGTTCTGCTCCCCACTCTGGCTCTGGTGAATTGTCTCACCCTCCCGCACTTCTGACCTGTAACCCAGTTCTTGTATAAAATAAATACATAAATCTTAAAAAAAAAAAAAAAGAAATATAAGATTAAGGTGTCAGTAGGGTTGGTTTCTTTGGAGACTTCCCTCCATTGCTTACAACAAAACCTAAACTTCTTTTTGCTGTGTCCTCACATGTCTTTCCTCCATCCATGTGTGCCTTTGGAGTCTCTTTCTATGTTTACATTTTCTCCTCACATGACAACACCAGTTAGACTGGATGAAATCCCACCCAAGAAACTCATTTTAACTTAATCACCTCTTTAATGGCCCTGTCACCAAATACAGTCACATCTGAGGTATGTGGGTGTTAGGGTTTCAACATATGAATTTCATAACGATGGCTAACTAGGTCCCTTTATTCTCTGTCTTAGACACCAATTGAGGTTTTCCTCATCTTAGAGCCCAAGCAACTTCTCTCAGCCATGCTTCCCCCAAGTAATGCGTACAGAGAGAATCACTTTGAGGATTACATTCCATGTAGCCCTCCATGCATCCTGTGGGACCCATCTAGCAAATGAAGACATTTGTGATGTCTTGTGCTGCAATATAGTTAGCTATTTGAGGGCCACCAAAAAAGTTGTTCAGAAATAATAAGTCCTACAGATTATCACTGAAATCAGAGTGATGTATATATGATATTTTCCCTGACAACAAACCACTTAAGTTAGAATTATACCAGGGAATATCTGAGGAATCCCTTTAGCCTTTTCTATAATAGTGAGGAAATTACTGGGAAGAATGCTCAAGGGCTCTTTAATGTTTTTGAGGAGTAGAAATGCAGTATGAGAGGCCTGGAGGAATTCTTATGGCTTCAAGTGAATTATTAGGGTCCCCCCCCCTTAAGTACTTTGCATATGCATATGACATGTTAAGCAGAACATTTTTTAAAAAGCCAAACTATTGGTATTCAAGTAGATCATCTTAATTTTTGCTGCTGCAATCTACCCAAATCAAGTTTTATGTTAAAATGCACCCGATTACAACACACTCATGGTCACACTGCAAACTGCACTTCATTTTACCAAGCTGATACCATTTTTATAAAGCAAGTGAATTAGAATCTCCTCCTAAGAGTGCCTGTAATAATCAGAATACTGATACACCATTCTCAAGGGAATCATGTTTTAATCTTCAAATGACCATTTATATCAAAATATCACGAGTGTCTTACAGACACAGCAATTGACACTTTATCTTAACTAGTGTTAGGCCCAGCACTAGCAAGCACGAACAGAGAGGATCATTTATCCACCACAGTATGACTCTTACCTCCTAATACACAAAAACAACTAGACTTAAGGAAACCTTTTCCCATAGATTTGACTACTTAATCCATTAACAATAAAATTGAATTCCTCCCACCCCACAGACACCCCCAAGTACTTTTCTAAATGTGAGGAGTCATGGTATCAGCTATCCCACATTAACTTTCAAAAGACCATCAGATGAAGAGGTCTCATCAAAAGCAACCTACTTAAGTATGAATAGCTAGCTCAAAGAATGACAGATCAAAATTCTGCTGACTATATACTGAGAAAATTCCTAACATAGATACATTTAATAACTTTCTCTGACATTGACCAAATTTAGTGGCTTCATTCACAACACTCAAAGAAAAAACGAACAGCAGACAATAAAACATTACTTAGTAAATAGGCAGTGCAACAAGCTCACAAATGTGCTAAAAGAGCTCCCTTTCCCCATAGTGGTTGTCAAGCAGCACAGAAGACTCCACATTTTCTCAGCTAAGCTCTTAATTGGTTGGTGACAAGCAAAGATTCCTCTGAACTTGCTTACGGTGCTACGAGTGTTCGCATTTATTAATGGTTTAAATCGTGCGTTTTTTTCAAACTCAAACGTCTAGTATGCTTTTGTGCTCTCTCTCCATTTCCCTTCTCTATTTCATCTGAGCGGTTGCCTTTTGGTGTCCCACACTTCCATTTTCTCCTTTCATGTTCCGCTAAGCCCACCAAAAACCGCAAAAACCTGGGGTGCAATGATCACATCTTAAGTAATCCTTTTCCTTATTTTAAGTATTTCGAAATTGGAATGGGGGCGGGGGGAGATCATCTAGGGACAGCCTCAGATTTTTCCAAGCAAAGTGTGTGTGGAAAAGCAGCTTTTCGTCCTTCATTTTCTATCTATCTAACTAACGGCGCTATCGTACCCGAACGCAGATATTGGCCAAGAACTGGATTTCCAAAATGGCTTTGCTCTTTTCGAGATGGCATCGGTCTATAAATTGCAATTTATTTCCACCGCAACCAACACTTCCCTCTACCCCAACACCGCCTCGTACAGAGACAGCTGAACCAGACCCAGCGGAGACGCACGAACCCCATCCGCTAAATTCAGCAGAGCGCCGACATAGCCGTTGCACAGATGTGAAAGAGGCGTTATAAGAAAAAGGGGGGGGGAACCCCACACATTAAACTCCAGGGCGGGCGCACCCCGGGATCGAGCCCTCCCGCCACGGCAGCCACGCCCCCCGCGGCTCGACGGCGGCCACGCCTCCCCTGGCCCCCGCCCCGCCCCACCGCGGCCACGCCCGACGTGCGGCGCGGGAGCCGCCGGGCCGGGGGCGGGGCCTGCCCTGCCCCTCCCCCCTTGCACCCCCCCCCGCCCCCGCAGCCGCCGCCGCCGGCGGCCTCCGCACGGGCCTCCCAGCCCGTATTCCACTCACTTTGTTCTCCGCCTTTGTCCTAATCCACACCAGCAGGTGGAGCCGCAGTTAGTTTCCGAGTCCATTCCGGGAGCGGGAGCCCATCTTGCTCGCCGCCAAGGCCCTCGCAGGAGGAGGAGGGTCAGAGCCCGGGTGCAGCCAATCGCGGGCAACGCTGCTAGTTATCAGAGCAGAATGGGCTGTAGTTTAGTGAAATAGGAAAGCTGCAAAACACTGTGGAGTGTTCCCGTGTAAATAAAAAGAGGAAAAAAAAGTTTCTCAAGTCGCCGCGGCACGACGTCGGGCCGGCGCCGGGGCGGGGGTCTGCGCTTTCCCGAGCGGCCGCGCGCTGGACTTTATTGTGCCGCGACCAGCCCCCGTGCCCATTGTTTGTGTTTTTTCCAAAATATGGCAAAGGTTCAGGTGAACAATGTAGTGGTGCTGGACAACCCTTCTCCCTTCTACAACCCGTTCCAGTTCGAGATCACCTTCGAGTGCATCGAGGACCTGTCTGAAGGTGAGTGGCGGCCGCCCGCCCGGGCTGTCAGCCGCGGCCGCCGGCGGGGAAAGTTTCCCGGGCCCGGCCTGGCGCGGGGGCCGGGGTCGGCGCGGGGCGGGCGGCGGGCCGGGCTCCGCGGAGGGAAACTTGAAGTTGGCGGCCGGCGGCCCCGGGGCGCGCGCGGCGTTCGGCCGCAGCCGGGGCGCCCGCCGCGGCTAACTTGCGAGGAACTTGTGCGAGCGGAGGTAGCCATGTTGTCAGCTTTGTCTCGGGCGGGCGGCCCCGGAGCCCCGCGCCCCGGCCCGCGGCGCCGGCCGGGGGTCGCGCCGGGCCGGCCCCGCGCCGCCCACGGCCTCCGCGGCCCCCGCGGCCCCGGCGAGGAGGCCGGGCCGGGCGGGGCGGGCGTGTGGTCGCGCCGGCGGGCGAGCCGCGGAGCCATCTTACCCGGAGCGGAGAAGCGGGCACCGACCCCGGCGTCACGACGCCTCCTCGCCGCGCCGCGGGTGACGAGCGCGGCCCCGCAGCCGCCTCCCCGCGCCGGCCCGGCCCGGCCCCAGAGCTCGCGCCGGAGCGGCCGTGGCTCCCGGGTGGCCATGCCCGGCCGCGGCGGGGAGGAGAGCGAGGCTGTCCTCGCGCTGATTTCTGGCTCCCTCGACCAACCAGCGGGGAAGGCGGGCGCAGGCTCGGCCCTCCGCGCCGCGGGCCGGGCGCCGGCGCTCCCGGGGCCCCGGGTGCTCGGGCCGCCCGGGATGCGCGGGGCCCCGCCGGGGATGCTGGCGCGCGGGCTCGCCCCGACCGGCGGGGACGCGTCTGCCGTAAGGACGGACATTTCTCAGGAGGCAAAATATTGCTACGCGAGAAAGTTACATGTAACTCAGTAAGTAAAATACCTAAATAATTTCCAGGACTTAATCGCCGGCTGCTTCAGTGGTCTGAGAGACCTTTTCAAGAACGTGTTGCAATTTAAAAATAACTCCACATCCAAACACCCTGAACGTGAAACACAAAAGTGGGCTAGGAAATAAAAAGCCACGTTCTGATGTCCATGCAGAAAATTATTTTTCTAAGTGCGTTTTAAGGTCTTCAAAAAGGTATTTTTACTATATGCAGTAATATTTAGAAAGCTGAAATTTGCCAAGGCGTTATCTTTGCTTTTCTTAGATTATATTAAAATAACCCAGTGCCTCATTTTCAGAGCTTGAGGGGAAGAAAGTTTACTTCACCACTGGTAGGATTACAATTAAACAGGGAACACACTACTTTAAACTTACAAGTACATTTAACAAGTTGCATTACAATTATTATGCTAATCATGACCTGTAACGCAATTTTCACTTTAAAAATTCGTTTTTACTTTCTATAAAGTTTTGTAGTGTTCACTTTTTAAATTAGAAAAAGCTCATTGTAATAAACTTTGAAAAAGTTGTACAAACGTATAACAGTCCCGTACTCAGTGCCTCTCATTTTACTCCTGCAAGTAACCATAATTAACTTTAATCTGTGCTCTTCCAGTTTTAATATGTATATAAAGAATATATGTGTGTATAATACATGTGGTACACATTTTGAAAGATGATTCATTCATTAAAATAATTTCTAAATAGGCCATTGATAATAAAATTAATGGTAATATTTATTAAACCATCTGATTATTTCCCCACAGTGTTCTTTAAGTATTTTAGCTACCAGCCCATTTTTCATACCAAACTGTCCAATTTTTATTACAATCTCATAAAAGTAGGCAAATGCAAGAGAAACCATTGATCAGTACTTAGACTAATGTTTTAGGCTTTAGAAATTCCTCAAAGTATAGATATATTTAAAATGATGCCTTCCATTTTAGGAACTAGTTCTGAACAGGGAATATAGATGGTTCAGGATCTTGTTATAGAGCTCTGACATTGGGTGGTGAAACTGCCATTCACAGCAGAAAAATATGTTCCGTTTTTAAATGGGATCTGCTCAGAATCCAGCAGAATTACATCAGTTTTTATAATACTGATGTGTCAAGCATACACCTACTTCCACTTGCGCACCTCACTTCTGCACTGAGTACTTATTTCGTATATTTTTAAAAGAATTTAAGCTGAGTCATACAGAGCTGCAAAGGAATCTTTCAAAAAAGGTACCATGCTTGTGTACTCCACCTAGAGGCTGTGTGGATTAAGAAAATTGAGTTTACCTAGCAAAGGCTTCTTATAGGTTCCATAGTTTTGTATTACAGGTCTTTAAAAAAAAAGTCTTGAAATTAAACTATAGAATATTCTGAAGGGAACCTTTCACTTCATAATTTTGTTCTAGGTCCCAACCCAGAGGTTGGTCACCATTTTTCATACTTTAGCTTGTCAGTAGCTTCCAAATATTTCAACTGTCCTATAGCTATGCTTCAGAATAAAAGCAGTTATTGATTGATTGCAGTTAAGTTGATTTAGTTATTTCAAACATAAGGCTTTATTACAAGCAGGACAGCAGTCTAGATTTAAATGAGGTTTTCCTGTCAGCCTGGTATATAGGAGACCCTGGATTTGTTTGACCTGCTGGTCACTAAATCTGGATGAGTTTTGATTGACTTTCCTGCTGTCTTTGTTATGCCTTCTGTGAATGGCTAATTCACTGCTTCTCTGATGGATGGAGCCATTTTTCTTAAAAGTTGATGAGTATCAATTATAGCTATAGTCAGTTGAGTATTTACAGTGTACTAGAATTGATTATGGTGCTTTACACTTGCAAACTTCAGACTTGTTCTAATTCTCAAAGATTATATACTACCCACCAAACTACTGTTCTTCCCAGTTAGTTTTAACATTTCATTAGTGACTCCCACCACAAATGGAGATGACAGACTACTGTGATTATCATGATTAAATGCAACAATTAGTTAACTTTTAAAATTGTCTCCTTTAGCTACCAACCTGTGTCCCTATCCTTTCCTCCTAATACAGAGCACAAAGAAAGCTAAAAAACTAATAAAACAAGTGATGCTAATCTACAAATAAGTATTAAGCATTTTAAACTCACTAGTTACAACAAGCATCTGTAAGCATAAAAATTAAGGTACAAGTGATCTGAGTTACAGCCTGTGTACTCATTAAGGCTAACATCTGATCATGGCCTCTTCCCTCATCCGTTCCCCCATAATTAAATTCCCTATTCCACTATTTGAGAGGTAGGGAAGAATTTATCTTCCTGGGTATGTTTTTCGGAAAGAACCTAACCAAGCTTTTGTGTTGGGAGAGACATATTAGCTTCTCACACTCTTTATTTACTAGCTATGTGAATTTGGGTAGATTTCTTAGTCTCTCAGTACTTAAAAGATATAATTAAATCCATATTACAAACCTGTTGAGGTTTAAACACCAGGTATGAAGTGGTGAGACCAACGCCCAGCACATAGTAGGTATTTTATAAAAGTAACTTTGTAAATCATAACTATGTTCCTATGTCACATCACCAATGCCAGTTTAACTTAATACCAATTAGGAGGCCAAGAGTGGTAGTGGTACAAATACATATGAAATGGACAAAACATTATAAAAACCTACATGTGAGAAATTCCCAATATTATTCCTACCCGGATAGTTTTCACACTCCTTAAAACCACTTCTTCACTTGACATATGAGGTGCCTACCTCATTGACCACTAGCTTTATAACCTACTTTATTGATTTCTTCATCTCCCAGAGTCTTTAGTGATCTTGGAGAACCTGACGGCTCACTCTCTAGGAATCCCTTAGGCTTTACATGTTGACAATTTCCAAGCTTTTCCCATCTCATTATCTCCACTTAGATATCTAGTAGATATCTCAAGTAAAACTAATTCCTGATTGTTTCCCTTCCCTGCCAAAAGGAGAAGAAAAAAAAAAAAAAAAAAACCACAACTTGCTTTGAGATTTATCCAGAATGTGACTGCTTCTCAACCCCATGGCTACATGTGGTCTAGACCACCATAATTTCTTGTCTCAGTTGTTGAAATCTTGTCCTCTTACTCTCTGCTGAACACAGCAGCCAAAACGGTCCTTTTAAAATGAAAGTCAGATCCTGTAACCCCTCTGCTAAAAACCCCCAATGGATGCCCATGCCACTCAGTGTAAAACCCAAGTCTCTTTTTTTAAATATATATTTTACATCACTCTTCCTTTTTGTACAATGTATGCTTTCTCCTCTCACGTGTAGTCCCCGTAAAATTCCCACCACCAGTTCACCTGTGCATCATCACCATGGTCCTCTGTGTGCTTCCTCCTCGTGTAAAACCCAAATCTTTATTATTTTTTTAATGTATTTATCCTACATATTTGGTCTTTTTTTTTTTTTTAAGATTTATTTATTTATTTATTTATTTATTTTTAAAGATTTATTTATTTATTATTTATACAAGCACTAGGCACAGTCAGAAGCGTGGGAGGGTGAGAGAATTCACCAGAGCCAGAGTGGGGAGCAGAGCAGGCAGAAGGACAGAAGTACACTGCTGAGGGGAGCAGTGGGCCACAGGAGAGGTCTGCGCGCCATGCGGGACCCTCCTCCGGTGGCCGGGGAGCAGCCGGGGATCGAACCGGTGCCTCAGAGGCTGCGGGCAGCTTCGCAACCCAGCGCTCAACCGCTGCGCCACTGGGGAGGCCCAAGATTTATTTTATTTATGCATACAGGAGCTGGGGTACAGGCCAGAGATGTGGGGGGTGAGAGGATCCACCAGAGACCGAGTAGGGAACAGAACAAGCAGATTGACTGAAGTACACTGCTGAGGGGAGCAGCTGGTGAGTCAGGAGAGGTCTGCTGTGCCATGTGGGTTGCTCCCTGGCTGGCCGGGGATCCAATTCGTGCTGCAGAGGCCGCAGACCGCTTCATAGTGCAGTGCTCAACCCCTTGTGCCACCAGGGAGGCCCCCAAACCCAAGTCATTATGATCTTACCTTCAAATCCTTGCATAATCTGGCCATGCCCTTTACCCTCCATCTCATGGTCATCTCCTCTTTACTCCTTCTGTACCAGCCCTGGCCTTTCTTTTTCGTGAGGATGCCAACCCTCCTCCCATTTCTGAGTCTTTGTATTTGCTATTTCTTCTGACTATTCACATTGTTTCCACTCAATCTTCAACAACAAATAATTGATATTGTGAGATGTCAGATACAGGACCCTGCATCTGGAAATGTGCTAGAAGTTGTAATATTAAGTGGGCTGGGTCTAGAAAAAACACATGGCATGTTAGGTCCTCTGAAAATAACTGACTTGATAAGAGAAAGTACAAACCTAAAAGATCTTTCCAATAAACTGCAGTTTATAATACAGTATGAATAAGTAGTACCTATACTATTTTGTTACTTATTTAGGTAACAATAGCTCTATGTAGTGACCAAAAATATGGCAACACTGGTAGCACTAACCAGATTCCCAGGAAGTGACCCAGAAACTCCCTGTAGTAATGCTTGTATAGTTTTAGTAGAGTGCATCTGAGAGCAGGCCACACAGTGCTGCACTCCTAAGAGGAGGAGGAGGAGTGCTGAGATGATTTGTATCTGTAGAGTTGTCTTCCTCATCCTGCCAAAGAAGCTCCTTCAAAAGAAAGATCATTTTTACTCATCTTTAGGTTCTTGCAAAGTAAACTGTAATATGTACACAAAATCTGCATCACACCTAAGATTGGATTACACAGAACATCTCAGGTTGCACTTGAATATGTCTTGTTGCTCCGCACGCGGCCCACTGCATGCATATCAGTGGTATAAGGGTTCTTGGCTCCCTCTTCCCGATTTAAAGAATGAATGGGTGTCATGAGGATAAAGCCCCACTGCGGCCCTTTAACATCTTATGCGATAAAGCCCCTTCTGAGCCCAGAGGGAAGTTTGCTAATAACCATTTAGATGATTTAGACCTGCCCAGCATAGTCTGGGGAGCCTTTTCAAAGTGTCCAAATTGTGTTCAGTAGGTTGTTAAAAGTTGGAACTCAAGGGGCCTCCCTGGTGGCACAAGGGGTTGACACACAGCCTGTGAAGCTACCTGCAGCCACTGCAGCATGTTCCACCCCCGGCCAGGGGGGACCCACACACCACAGCAGACCTCTCCTGTCTCACCCACTGCTCCCCTCAGCAGTGTATTTCAGAAGATCTACCTGTTCTGCTCCCCACTCTGTCTCTGGTGAATCCTCTCACCACCCCCAAACCTCTGGCCTGTACCCCACTTCTTATATGCATAAATCTTAAAAAAAAAAAAAAAGTTGGAATGCCCTACCAAATACATTTGGGAAGTGATGGATGAACACATTGACATGCTGGTATTCTTCACTTAGGGATGTCTCAGAACACTTACTTTGCCATTCTGTTCTATGAATCCTCAAGAGAGGGTTGTTGCATTTCCCAAGGTTTTGGCTATGTTCGTTTGTTTATGAGGAGCAATGCTCAGGGCCCGCTATTTCTCAAAAGAACTGCTATGAGGAACTGGTATGACCTGGAAGAATTTTACAAGCAGCAGCTCAGCGTCTTTCTGAATGGATCTTCAGCAATGAGAAGTTGCCTTTAGCAGCCAATGAATTAAGTGGACATTAAAAGGGTCTTTGATGTCATCTCATAATGAAATTACTGAATATGGAATAATGTTTTGGTTTTTAACCCTAGACTTGGAATGGAAAATTATCTATGTGGGATCTGCAGAAAGTGAAGAATACGATCAAGTTTTAGACTCTGTTTTAGTGGGGCCTGTTCCCGCTGGAAGGCATATGTTTGTATTTCAGGTAAGATTATTCTTAGTAAATATTTATGCCAGATATGTTCCTAAATAGACTATATTTCATGGTCCTTATCCCTTTTGAGTTAAGTCATTCTGCTTTTGCTTCGCTTTATCTGCTTCTATCATGTTTTAGGAAGGAATGTCCCCTCTTGATTTTGTATGCTGAGAGACATTAATGTGATGTTTATTCAGGATTTGCACAGCATACAGGGGATTTTATATAATGTGGCACACTGGTGCTTAATTTTGGGCTCTTCCTGTGAATTGTCCCCTAGTAGATTTTCAGGGTGGTTATTTAGCAGCTCAAAACAGTGATTCAAAACATGTACTAGGGCCTCCCTAATACCTTAGGGGTTAAATCTCAGCTCTGTGACCTCTATGGCCTGAGTTCAATCCCTGGCCAGGGAGCTGACCCACAGATGGCGCAGCAGATCTCTCCTCTCTTGCCCACTGCTCCCCTCAGCAGTGTATTTCAGTCAGTCTGCCTGTTCTGCTCCCCACTCTGTCTTTGGTGAATCCTCTCACCCCTGCACCTCCGGTCTACACCCCAGTTCTATGCAAAAAAATAAAAATAAAAAACATGCTAAATTGGTAAAGTTAGTAACATGTGCCTTTATGGTTTCAGCTATGAGCAGTGATGATATGACAAAACCCTTTATTTCAGCATAATCTAGTCATTGAGCCTAGCTTAACAAGTATGTTAGTAGATAGAGATCTCTGAGATCTTGGGTCACTAAAATTGAAATCTAGTAGTTTACTAAAGCATCTATTGCATACATATTTATAGAGGATCACTATCACAAACCACTAGCCTGTTTAATATTTGTGAGGGGAAATTCTAATATAAATTATGTCCTCTGATACCACTCACAGTATTTGGGTCTGTGCCAAGGTTTCAGACAATGTCTTCTGTATTATAAAAGTGATACTTCTTTTAATCCATGTTAAGCTGTTATATGAAACTATTCAGTGACTTCTCTGGTACCCTTGCTTATTACAGGAAGATAGTTAAAAGTGTCTAAAGAACAACAAGCCATAGGTTATTAGTTTTGTTACAAGTACTTCTGCTTAGCAGTCCCATCATTAAGTAGAACCCACTGAAAAACTTAAGCAAGAAAAAAATCTCCCTTTTACTATCCCTGACCTCCATGTTTTCTTACATCACAGATGGGCATCAATCTAAGTGAATACTGTTAGTCAAATAACCCCACTAGATAGGGGCTAAGAATCCTTCAAACGCTATCTCTAGAGATCCTATCTTTCCCTCTTCCAAATAGAGAATTCAGAACTAAGGCTAAACTCTTGGCCTTAGTGCTTTTTATTAAAAAGCAACAGATAATATATCTAACAGATAAGTAAAGGTAAAATAAATTAACCAAAAACTCAAAATATGTCAATTAAAAGTGCTATTATCATGAGTTGTTCATACAACTCATAACCTTGGTTAAAAATGTGGGTGCAGGAGAATGCATGTATCAGGAAAAGCACTATAGTCGCAGGCCTGGTTCACATCTTGCTGCAGTGCTTATTAGCCACATGTAACTTTAAACAGGCCCCCTAACCTCTTTCAGTCACTCCAGTTAACTATAAAATATGAGTAAGATATTAAAAGAACATTATGAGGATTAAATGAGGACTAACACTTAACTAATAAAGTCACTGACAAATAGAGCCCTATTTCTATTATAACTAAATTTTTATCTCTCAGCTTCTCAAAATTGTTATATGGAGTATTTGCTTTGACCTACAAACCTAAGAACTAGTACTTATAATTCATGTAGTCAGAAACTTGATTTGACACATAGTGATACACCTTTTCTTGCTACTATAAAAACTTGTAAATGCCTTGTTTTTGAAACAAACCCTTACAAATCTTTTCTTTTTGTTAAGAAAATTCCTAAGCTTTTGGCTTAGAGTGTCATAGGAAAAAAATTTTCAAAAATACTCCCCTCTAGTGATTTTCCAGTGGTTTTACCTCGCTGTTAGTCCCCATGTTGCCAGAAAGCACAGAGGAAGTCTAATGTGATTTATTTAGAGCATATATTCGGCTTACGCATTTTGTAAAATGCACCATTATTAGCAGAGAGGTACAAAAATTTGGTTTTTGACAACCGTATTACTCTCCTGGTCTGTCATTTTGCCTTTCAGAGTAAACATGCCTCTCTCCTGTGTCTCAAAGACTAGCAGGAAGATGTTCAGCTACCTACATAGTATTGCTGATTGGAGTTAAAAATCTCTGCTTATCACTTCTCTATCCTAAATGATCTGATGGGCCTACAGGTTTCTCTTCTTGAATTTGCTAAAGTTAATCCTTGTCAAATTTTAAGCCACAAGTATTCCTAGAACCAGTTTGCTTGAAGGGATGGGAAGCAATGTGGAAAGTTTCCATCATAATACTAAACTTCTATTTCCTATCTCTTCCCACTCAAGGTATATGAAAATCTCTTAGAGGGGCGGGAATGGGTGAGGACACATTTCTCAGAGAAACAGCATATTCTCCAGTACAAGCCCTTTAGTCACATCTTGGTATCTCTCCAAAGAGATCATAAACCCTTCAGGGCAGGAACCAGATTATTATGACTAGAGCTGTGCCAACATGAGATTATAAAGATGAACTGGATGGGACTTCTACCCATTCTAAAGCTTAGAATCACACAGAAGATTTAAGGGAAAACATTTAAAATTTTTGGCATAGATTAGAGAATTTATGTTAAGTAATAAGGAGTATGTAACAAACATTACTAGTTCTACCCTTGAATTAGAAAGGACTTCACTGAGGGTACATTTGATGCAAGCTTTCAAAGATGAATTTTTTCAGGATGTTAAGGAAGGACCTTATAGGCCAAGGGAACAGTATATACAACATTTTATCACTACATTTTCAAGAACCTTTGTAATTCTAGAACTAGAGGAAGAGGTGTGGAGTTAAAAAGAGTGTGAATGGAGATGTTAGAGACAAATTGTGAAGGGTCTTATAAACACAGACCTGACATTTTTAACCCTTAGAAATGGAGTATCTGAGATTTTTAAATCTAGTGATGGAATAGGAATATTTAAGTAGCTGATGTTGACAACAGTGCAAGCAATAGGTTAGATCTGGAGGAGATCAGTTAGAGTATTAACAGTATTGAGCAGTAAGAGGTGCTTCAGCCGTCATAGATGAGAAATGTTAAGACAATTAGATGTAGGAAGTAGAGAATCTGGGGGTAACTGAGGATTTTAGCCTAGGTAGGTATTTCTGTGTCATTTTGTGTTTCATATACATAGTAGGCATACAATTTACATTCCTCTCTGATGATGATGGCCTGATTGAGAATACTAGTCTGGGTCGTTCCCAAGCTTCAGGCATTAGATGAAGTGGTAACCCAGGTCCAGGGATGTTCTTTAGTGTTCTGGGAACAGTAATAAGCTAATCTACTGGCACATCATCCACTTAGCACTCAGAATGGCTGCCCTTGTAGCACTCAGATGCCTTGCCATCATTGTCTATCCCCTTACTCTGAGTCCTTCCTACCACTCTCCTTACTGTCCCGTACACTGACATGGACAGTATCATAGTCAATTCATGCTTAGTCTTCTCTAGCTCATTTGTTTCACCTTCTACCTTCCTCAAGGTTCAGCTTGATTCAAAACCTGTCATTAATTAAATTTATTTAAAACAATCTTTACCTTCACTGAATTTCTATAATTGTGTGGTTGAAGCAGCCCACTGTATTTTAGTGCCTAGCAAAGTCATTATTTATTATTGGTATCTTTTGAAAATCTGCTATATTACCTATTTTCATTCCAGTTCAAGTTTTATTAATTTACTATTAGAATACCTGTGAGGAGAGTGTGAATGGGTGTGAGAATATATCGTGGGTAGAAGAGGGAATTGGTATAAATATTTGCTGCCAATATGCTGTATGAAGATACTGAATGTTTACTAAATATTTAGGCATGAAAATCATGACTAGAAAAAGTTGGAATTATATTGATTTAATTGAATATTGCATAATCCCTCATAAGCTACCATACAATGTAGCTAGGTTTATTTTCCTCTAGAAGAAGTGATGCTTTCAAGTACCCAGGTACTTAGTTATACTGTGGAGAAACATGAACTATATTTTCTGGCTATAAGTCAATCTCACATATTTGTCTTCCTAGTAGGCCTTCAAATTTTTGTGGCTGTGTCCTGGACTGATAGGGTGCTCAGGGTAAACAAAACTCCAGTCTTGCTTGCAGTTAACACCTTTTGTGTTTTTTTTTTTTTTTTCTTAAATTATTCTAGGCTGATGCACCAAATCCAGGACTCATTCCAGATGCAGATGCAGTAGGTGTAACAGTTGTGCTAATTACATGCACCTACCGAGGTCAAGAATTTATTAGAGTTGGCTATTATGTAAATAATGAATATACGGAGACAGAATTAAGGGAAAATCCGCCAGTAAAACCAGACTTTTCTAAGGTATGTTTGAACTATTCCTTTTTTGTGCAATTGCCATTTCATAGCACACTATGAAGCTGGCTTTAAGACAAAAGAAATTTGAGGCCATTAGGCCAACTGGGCTAACTAATCATTGTTCTACTACTAGGAATGACTTCAAGCACTACTTCCAAATAAGTTGTTAGTAATTGATGTTGCTCAGGCACCTTGAGAGTCTGATGATTTAGAAAAATGAAAATGCCTCTTGTTAGAAAAAGGCCTTTGTTTATGGCTTTTTGCATGGCATTTCCTATCATGACTGTTTTCTGTCTTAGGATATTTTACATTTTAAATATATTAAATATATTTTATATTTCTGTCTTATGATAGTTTATAACTCCACAAATCCTGGGGGTAAGTTTTGTATTTATTTTTAATATGAATAGTAAATATCTCAGAACTCCAACATTCCATGCTTCCTGTGCTCTACCTAAAGGTTAAAAGTCTTCCATTTTATTTCTAGAAATTGAAAACAGCTTAAATTCTGAGAAAATAAAACTATGAGTGAGAAGTTGAAATCTGTGAATCTGTAATTCAGTATACTCAAAAATATTTAGAACTTTGTGATTTCCCATTGAGAATGGTAACAGTTCAGTAACTGGTGATTCTCCTGAGATACTAAGCATGAAACTATCTACCAGATCAAGCAAGAAAAATTACATGGGAGCAGAATGGCATGTTCTCCCTTCTGATAAGAAAGCTGGAATTTTTTTATCCTAGTGTTGGATTTTCCACTGATGCAATATATGGTTACCTATATAGCACCTTCTATAGAAAACAAGAAAGAGAAGAAACCAGAATACTCTGAATGAATCAATAATAACTAAAATGTAGGAAACCATTAATGAGAGGTTATATTTGGGGGAAATTCTTTTTTCTCTAAAGTATTACTGAAGTGATACATCAATTACAGAACATATTTGTCAAATAAAGCATCTTCTAAAGCATTTACGTTCAAAAATTAAGAGATTTTCTCCCTTTTAGGCAACAGAAATATAGAGGAGTTAGATGAATTCTCTCAGATTCTCCACACCTTGCTTCCATTAAGCAAGAATTCTTTCTTTGCTACAGCCCCAATCAATCCTTGTTGATGAGTTACATTTAAGGTGCTTTATTTGACATATTTAGACTTAAAATATATGAACTTAGTTAGCTCTTTTGGAGCACTAATTAAAATAACTATTTTACTAAGCTCCTGTTTGTATATGGTGATCTAGCTTTTTTAGTATTTACCATTTTTATATTTCCTTCTAGCTTCAAAGGAACATTTTGGCATCTAATCCCAGAGTCACAAGATTCCACATTAATTGGGAAGATAACACAGAAAAACTGGAAGATGCAGAGAGCAGTAACCCAAATCTACAATCACTTCTTTCAACAGATGCATTACCTTCAGCATCAAAGGGATGGTCCACATCAGAAAACTCACTAAATGTTATGTTAGAATCCCACATGGACTGCATGTGACCACCTGCCATCCCTTTAGTACAAATTAAGCTATAAAAATACACAGAACTATTCCCTGAAATTCCGTAAGTACATAGTGAAGACAAATGTGAAGAATTTGTTTCAAAAACATCCTGTAGAAAGTTTATAAGAAAACCAGTATTTGAGCAAATTGTGGAATATAAATACAACTATTTTTAAGTAATTTTTTTCTCTAATGTGTTATTTTATTTGTTCTGAAACTAATCTGATTAAAACATAATTTTCTTCTCCTCTATATGTAATTAAAGCACTTATGAAGAAAAATATGAATTAGACCAGCTTATAAAGATGTCTTAGGCTCTTGGACAGTAATCTTTGGACCACTAGTTTGCTGACCTTCGAAAAAGCCAAGTTCACTTCAACTAAAATGTTTCTTCCTGTCATAAAATAGTTTGGTTTTATTTAAGGGGCAAATTTCCCTTCTTTTTGGCATGTCCTTAAAGAAGAGATTTGAAGACAACTATATGCTACCAAGAACTTTAGGATCTGGTTTTCCAGGCCACCTCGAAGCTTCTTATGGCTCTAATTTGGTTTCTAATATGAAAACAAATGTGATTGTTTATAAGGTCCTCTGGCTATGGTTTTGTTTTTTTTTTTAAAAAAAAAAACAGATTAGAACACTCCATGAATCATATGTTGTTACTGCCCAATGAATTCAAAATGCTAAGAGCAAATACAAACTCCCTAATTTTAAGAACAGAAAATTAGTGATTTAGACCTGTTCGTTAGATATATATATAAACGTACTGTGATCATAATGCTTTAAAATTGTTTTGACAGATCATTTGTTATTGGCAGCGTTTCTATAAAAAATCATCGAATTTGGAAAAGCATATTTAGCTTTATCATAACAGAAAATATTTGGAAATATATATTTTCACACATGTAGTCCTCTTCTGCATACCTTCTGACACTGATGGAGAGTTAAGATTAGGTATATTTGTGATTGACATATTCTAAATAGCTTTTCCAAATAAATTTTTAAAAGGCAGCCTTGGAAAGGAATTCATTAGCTAAATGGGCCAAAAGGTTCCTTTTCTTTGATGAAAGTTAGATTCTTCCTCAAAAAGTTTATTACGCGCCACTAAATTAAGTGTAGAATATTTCCATTACTCTTGCTGCCAAGCAAGGTATTAGCCATATGATGCAGAGTTACGCAGTGCCTTCATATGAAAAACTTTTATACTGCACTTTTTAAAGCTTTTATTTTGAGGAAAGAGAAAGGGCATTTGTTTGAATATGGATTCTAAGTTGTATATATTTCCTGTCATTCTAAATAAGTGAATTTGTGAAACAGTCTTGCTAAATGTTAAACTTTGAAATTTAAATTAATAAAATTATTAAAACTGTCCACTAATTAGTTCTTAGACTTTAAAAGTAAAACACGTCTGACTGTTAAAACTATGAAGAAAATTTCATTTTTGTTTAATTGCAATTAAAAGAAAATGTTAAAATATTAAAATGAAAATAAATGCAATACTTTCCCAAAAAGAGCTCAGTGATTAATATAACAGGAACAAGATACATTCTTGTTAGAAATAAAGCAAAGATAAGCCAAATTACTGGATAAAGTAATTCACTGCTGAGTTTTTATTTGGTTAATTATAGTGATCAGTATATTGACATCAAAGGATTAGATTTTTACATTAATTTCTAAATGAACAGCCAATCATCACAGAAGTTTGGCATTTAAAAACCATTACTTCTGGAGATTTTATTCTAGAAGACTTTTTAAAAATAAATGACTGAAAACAGAATTCAAACATTAGGAACTGAGAAACTAACACACAGGTTTCATTTTTTTTTTTTTTTCAATTTAGCCACATTTTACAAATATCTGAATTACAGCTAGAAGATGTAAAACTTTTTTCCCCCTCTTTTCATCATAGTAAATAGTTGTGTTCTGAAGATAGGAACACACCGTGCTATATAAGACAAGTAGGTTAGAGGGAACAAGGAAATTACTGAAACTAGGACTCACTCAGGAATTCTGGAGTGCATATATATATATATATATATATATATATATATATATATATATTTCCTTTATGACCTTATATAAGGCTAAGTTTTCATGTGATTTTACTATCTAATTTTACAATTTAGGGGTTCTAGATTTATCAAGAAAATCTGTAGCAGAATTTTAAACCTATGGTTAACAAAACATTTTTTAAGTATGACCTGGTGACTATTTAACAATTTTCATGAAAGTGCACCCTATAGGGCACCTTTATTGAATGCAGTATATTCTGGTATCTTTTATTATACTTCATTTTGGAAATGCTGGTTTTGACTCACTGATTTGAATTTTATGACTCTTTAATGTGTTGAATACAATTGAAGGAAGGCCAGTCTGGTCCTTTTGGTAAATGACAAGTGGCAATTTTTTTGCAGTTGAAAATTTATATTTCCTCAGCCTTTTCTCTTTCCTTTTCTCTCACACTTCGATTTTAAAAAAGGGGTAAGTACATTTAATACAGTAAGTCAGCAAGCATTCACTTTAAAACTATCCAAATAGTCGGAAATTACTATAGGCCAAATACAACTTGGACTTACTTTTTGGCGCTCATATAATTACTTAATCCACAAATTACTTGGGAAACACCTTTTTTGTTATTTTATAGAGAACGCTAGTACAGTGGGCCATAAGGATTTAAAAATGCATATGAAGTGTTTTTTATTATCATCTTCCCTCCAATATCCTGAAACTCGAGCACTCCTCTCACTTCACAAATTCTCTCTTGTCAATGCTTAATGTACTGTCCAGTTCTACTTCAAAACACAAGTGCCCCTTAGATTGGGGCTCTCATTATGTAGGGCCATTAATGGAGCATTTGCTGCTTTATGTTTTAAAGTATAAGCTCCTCATGTGAAATATGAGTACAAACAATGGACATTAGGCTCCTCTAACAAATAATATTTGTGCAATGTGTGAAAACAAAGGCCCATTATAATAAAAACAGGAGAAATATTTTCCCAATTAAAACAATGTAAAGATACAAAAAGGGTAAGAAAACATCTTTTTAAATATTTTTTTTCCTAAAGTCACTATGAAATCTCAGGTTTCTTATCGGCAAAGCTTTTAAACATATTGAAGAATCATTACAATATATGAAATGAAGTTCCACATTGCAACGATGAAAGTATGCATTCCATATACTAAAACAAATTTTCTAAGTATTTTCAGTAGGGGCTACTATTTTCCATGAAATTTATTACCATGAAAATACTTTAAGCTCTATGTCATCTAACTACTTTTGTAAAGTGAGATTTTCCCCCTATTTATTTCAACATTGTTTGCTATCTTCATAAAATGCCAAATGATGTATAACTCTTTCCTACGTAAGTATGTGAGATGGTAATCATAGGAGTCTAATACAAGGATCATTCAAACCTTAGATGTTAAGAGATATATAGCATAAGATTTTGGAGAACAAGTTTAGATACAACTTTTAAAATATTTTCTTAGAACTAAAAATACATACCCTTCAATTTCTGCCAGTAACTCAGTAGTTAACTTGAAATTTCTCGTACTTTAGCTACTTTTGCATAGGGAAAAATAAAATGTTTGGCTACTATAGTAATGTTAAATTAATTGCAATTGTCACATAAAATACCTGCACTAGTAGATCCAATTCCTGTGGTAAGCACAGACCTTGGTGTAATCTTTGCCGCATATTTGAGGAATTGAGATTTCCCTGTGCCAGGATCCCCAACCAATAAAAGATGAGATTCGCCTAGAAAAAAGTAAATATGTGGGGTTTTATAATCTCTATGAAAAGATTCTTTAGCAAAAGTAATTAAAAGAAAATTCTATATTACATAGTGTTTGTTATATAATCTTATTTAAGGTCATTCACCGAAGAATCTAACTAGAAAATTTTGAGAAAAATTATGTTATAAATAACAATTATTAATTGATTTCTGTTTATGACATTTCAAAATTAAATTCTAATGATAGATAATGGGCTATATCCAGATGTTTATTTAACATTTAAAAAATTTTAACTTACAAAGTTCCTGATTTTATTTAATCTACTTTTTAATACCAAACAACTATGATTAAATATTTCCATACGAGCCACACAAGTGTTTTATTTAAGCACTTTTAAGTGTTCAGGACTTATAAGTATCAAAGCATTTTATGTAAACTTTAGTAGTTTAATGAAGTATCTATTTTAAAGTGCTCTTATTTTTCAAATACAACAAGTGAACATATGAATATCCTGTGATACGTACCATCTCACCAAATTTCTTCAGTGCCAGTTTAGTATTTTTAAAATATATTAATAAGACAATCTTATTTAAGTTCAACATATAGCAGATGCTTTGCAAACAGTACATGATCAAAACAATACATGTAAACCTTATTGTGCTACTATTCTACTATTGTTTGAGTCCCTATGAACTGTATGATTTAATCTTTTGGTTTAGTGTTTAGTTATTTGTATTGCCTTGCTGAGGGCCATATGTAAACTTACTTTATGCCAGATTCAGGTCATCTAAGTGTTAGCTACACAAAACCCCCCAAACCCCAAAACTTCCATTTGGAAATAATTACACACTTATAGTAATCTGAATGTGTGACCTACGGCAGTACCTCATGGCAGATGGCACATTTGCTCTACCTACCAGAGGAAAGTGAATCAGCAGGCAGATGACTGAGCAGCAGTCAGAGAGAAACACTGACAGTCACAGATGGAGAGATGCTGCTTGAAGACATTAAAAAGTACTTTCTAATCTTTTCCTCTTGGAGAGATGGGGGATCCAATAAAAACCATAGACAGTAGTAGAAATGTAAAGATTTTATTTTGTTGCACCCTGATAGGCTGGAACAAAATTATAGACACATTGAAAAACAGGATTTATTTTAGTCTTTGGAAATTCTTAGCTCTTGATATAGTGATACTGGACTAGAAGCAGACAACTGTCAGCTTTAAAATTACATTTGGAGAATAAAACTCACAAGCAATTTTTATGCAGAAAAAAATTACAGCTTTCCTGGTATATGTTAACATTTCTCAAAATTTTCAAATAGGTACTAACCTCTGACCCGTGTTCCTGTAGCATCTGTCCTTTGAATCCCACCAGCCAGCACCATGGCCACAGCAAGCTTTACTAGATACATCCCAAAAACTTGAGGGCACAAACTGGCCAATATTTCATTTCTTCCTAGGAAAAGCAGAATGTCCAGTTACCAATAATTATCAAGAAATCCTAACCGGAATTTCTCTTTATCCTAACTGATCATCTTCTGTCAATACTTCCCTCCCCCACCACCTATAATAATCATGAGGACCATTCCAAAAGACTAAAAGGAATTAATACTTTGTTTAGGTCCTAAAAATTCTTTACCCATTAATGTCATGAAATGGAAAGTCTGCTTTATACTTACAGTAATTTGTCTCTATAAATTACTCCATTGTCTAAACAAAAGGTACTCAATCTCAGAAACAAAGGGTGAAGCTAACTGCAAGAGCCAAAAGTCTTCAATACAATACAGATGTCTGGAGCTCGTGGGATTCTCAAGAGGCATAAGAGAAGGCAAATCAGTCTACCCTGCAAGTCAGTTCACCATTTGCTTTAAGTAGTTTTGGCAAATTCTGTTTTATCTAGAATAAGTTATAGGGTATTAAGACAACTATTATAAACTCTAGCAATCAAGCTGGACATCTTGGGGACTTCTGATCAGGTGGTTTAAGAAGAACAATACAGTTTTCAGAAATGTTAAAACACCGAATTTGAGAACCTGCATATCCCATTCATGAATAAGTAGGTACTCCATGTGTTCATTGGCCTAATCAACCAACAGATGCTCTTAGAACCTATGACATTCTATCACAACAAATCCTTCTTGAATCTGTCATAACTTAGTCAGAATTCATTACCATGATGATACTCTGTGTATCTACATTCATATTACTGAAAATTAATGTCACATATTGGTAACTAATTTGCATGTATCAGTACTTCTTTTTCTGAGTCTGCACTCATATTTCTGTAATAGCCCTTTTGAGGAGGAAAATAATCATACAACTACTTGTTAGCTGATGAATCCAGTTCTAGCAGCTTTCCTACCAAACCATCAATGGGAAAGAAAGTCCCTTCATTCTATAATTAATGGGTCAATGAGTAAGGCTACTTACTATAATGAATCAAAATTGACTCAGTGGCCACAAATTATGGTGATATCACCTGGTATGGCAGAAGTGGTGAAGATAAAAAATCTTTTAGTAAAAAGTGGACCATAAAGGATAATTCATAAATCCTGGAGGGTGAGGGGAGTCTCTCCTGGAAGGCAAGAGGGCTGGAGGAGGCAGCCCGGTGCCTGGGCCAGCTTAGCCCAGGAAGAATTGGGAGAGGGATGTAGTGTAGCAAAAAAACTACTCTATTAACCCCAACACTGATATTTTAATTTATGTTACATCTTAGTCTCATGGTCAAAATTTTTGCTATAATTACAAAGCTTTATCTTTTGCATCTTTGTATATAATTTTCTCATTTCTACTTACTCTGAACTTTGAAATCTTCAGCTAAAATACTGTGATGTTTTTATTATCTAAGGTATCAGAAAAGAAATACAGCTTTACTAGGATTAGGTTTCAAAATAAGAAGAGTCATGCATATTTAAGGAGGAGCCATATTTAATTGGTAAAGAAGGTAGAAGACTCAGACTGTTTTGGCAGCTTAAGAAATACTGAAATAATAGTTGGAAATGGAAAATCTCTCTGAAATTTAGCCTTGATTTTCTAAGATCTCTGCGTAGCAATGACTATCCCCAAAAAGGAATTAAAAGAGAGACTCCTAGAGGCAACAATACTACCTTCCTTTGAACTCAGCCACTGTATTTGCATCATGTAAGACTGCCCCCAATCACAAACAAAATATTTACTGAAGGAAATGCCATTAAACATTACCAGCTATACAGCCTTAAACACAAACCTGCAAAGGGATCACTCTTATAGTATTCCCAAAAATCTTCAAATTCCTTTCGGACCTCTTCATCCATGATGATCCCTGCAGACTGTTCATTATTTACTTGGATATAATTGGCTTTCAGGACTATCTCCACTTCACAGCGCACATCTTGCTGAAAGGGTTTCCAACGTTGCATTACCACTCCATAAATAGTGAGGTCATCGCCTAAGGAAAAAGCACCAAGTGAGTCCAGCAGTAACAAAGGACCAGAAATGAGAAATAAATCATTCTCCCACCAGGGTTTAGAAATAATTTGGGACAAAGAACTCCACAAAGTCCTGATCTATTCATTTATTTATTTTTGTTGGCATTGTATTTTTATTTTGATGGCTAGAAACTAAGTCTGCATGTTTTCTTAATTTGTCAAATGATAATCATAGCAAACTATTGTTCTTCACTGGGAAAACAGTTTACTGGATGATTTATTCATCATTATTAGTTCACATTTAAACAAGAGGTGAACTGTAGCCAGAAGGTTCAACTATATTGGTGTCAGGAAGTAAGACAATTTCTGACAACTGATAGTATAGTTTCTTATATATAAATTTTCACTTTCTACATTTGTTAATATTTTACCCATTGCCTTTTTTTTTTAAAAAAGAATTAAGTAAGAAATGAATGAATATCTGGTCTACTTCAAAGCTCCTGTCCATAAACTGAAAGTACAAGTTACAGCCTTGCTTGTTCCCTTCTTGGTTGAGTCCTTCTAACCTGAGCAAAACTCACCCAACCTGGTGGGCAGAATAACTTTTACAGATTTTCCTTTGAGGCTTTGGATAGTTTATAGATACAATTTCCAAATACTGACATCTATACTTATTATTACATAACATTCAATCATTCAATGTATCAGTAAGTATATATGAATAGCATTCACTATTTTAGTACTGGAGAAAAGGAGAATTAAAAAAAATAAAAGACATAACCCCAGCCCCATAGATTTCACTGCTTTCCTGCTCTTACTTCCGACCTCCATGCTAGGCTCTGTCCTCAAAGTGAGCAACTAAGTCTCCACCCTCACTTGACAATGATTTTGAGAAAACAAAACATGACTTTTCCTAACTAATACTTTAGGATCTCCTATATAAGCTAACAAAAGTTAATTCTTACCAGATTTGCAATTGTCTACTAAGTCATCTTCTAGGATAACTTTCATAGATCGTGGAATACTTCCAACAGATAGCCTCTGAACCTAGCAAGGAAAAGTAAACATTACAGAGTATGCTTAAATATACACTAAGTATTCAGAAGCCTAGCAGTTCTTGAAATTAGTTTTTATTTCTCCAGTATCATACAATTAAATTCTGATGGTGATTTATGGACCTTTAAGAGAATTGTGCTACTATAAGCTTAAGAATTGACTAAAACTAGAGTAAGATAAAAACAATGGGGAAAATATCTCCAAATATAATCTAGTTTGTAGATGGTCACAATTAACATGCTCCAATTAGTAAACATAGTAACAGTTACTTACCTAGAAAAGAGGCAATTTTTTTGTTTTTTTTGGTTTTTTTTGGTGGGACCCTCGCCAGCGGCCACCGGTGCTGCAGAGGCTGCGGGCAGCCTCGCACCCCAGCGCTCAACCGCTGCGCCACCAGGGGAGGCCCGAGGCAATTTTTTTCCTGTTCTCTAATCTAAGGCCTAGCAAGAATCACTTTATTTCTTAGAAACAGAACTCTGGTTCTAGTTTTACTCCATATGAACATGTGCCCAGGAAAAAAACTCTTCTAGGTTCCACTGCATCTAGATGTGGTCATCTATAATATTCTGACCAGTAAGTTATAAGCAGATACATAGAAAACCTGAGAGAAACTGCTTAAATAGAAACTTGGGTTAGCTGACAGATGCTTTTGCCCATCCCTTTTTATCGCCTGTTCTTTGAGTAAGACACAAATATGAATGAAGCTGTAACCACCATTCTCATCCATACCCAATCATAGCACTAGAGTCATGTGTTAAGAATGGCGTTCATATGTCTGAGTTCTCAACAATGAGGAATCTATGTGCTAGTCTCAGACTATCTCCTGCTTAATTTATTTATGCATACCAGAGCTAGGGCACAGGCCAGGGGGGTGAGAGAATTCACCAGAAACAGAGTGGGGAATAGAACAGCAGACTGACTGAAATACACTGCTGAGGGGAGCAGCAGGCACCACAGGAGAGGTTTGCTGTGCCATAAGGATTGCTCCCTGACTGGCGGGGAATTGACTGAACTCGTGCTGCAGAGGCTGTGGATTGCTTCATAGTGCAGTGCTTAACCCCTTGGGCCATCAGGGAGGCCCCTCCTACTTATTTTAAATGAAAGAGGAAACTTATTTTTAAGCTGCAAGTAAAGGAAAATTAGGCTCACTCTCATTTGTTAAAATGTTCATGTATATGCCTAATTTGGCATAGCAAATAAAATTGGGTCAAAACCCCACATCCTGCCTACTCCAATATTTTACCAGTTAAACTCATTTAATTTTCTCCTATCTCTTAGTTAAGAATAGCTAATCTGAACTACTTACTTTAATTTTAACATAAGTAATTCCACAACACTCTTGCCAGTGTTCTTATAGATGACTATTTCATGGTTTCTAAAAATTGTAAGTTGATCTCCCATAATGTGATGACATAACTTCTATTTAAATGTATTATGTGGGGCCTCCCCGGTGGCGCAGTGGTTGAGAGCTGGGTTGCGAAGCTGCCCACAGCCTCTGCAGCACCAGTTTGATTCCCGGCCACTGGGTGAGGGTCCCACATGGTGCGCAGACCTCTCCTGCCACCTGCTGCTCCCCTCAGCAGTGTACTTCATCACTCTGTCTGTTCTACTCTCCGCTCTGGCTCTGGTGAATTCTCTCACCCTCCTACGCCTCTGACTGTACCTAGCGCTTGTATAAATAAAAAAATAAATAAATCTTAAAAAAAAAAAAGAGTACTATGACTCTAAAAAAAATAATAAATGTATTATGTGTTCCCTAGTCTTAGCAACTTGCCCACAGCTATAAAACACTTCTTCAAATTTGTTATTTTTCTCATTTATTTGAACATTTACCTGTTCCTGAATTTTGATTTCCTGGTAATCTCTACACTTGGTTGCAGATGAAGACAAGCCTGAGAGGCAAGTAAATTTTGAAGAATCACAGCTCTCCAAGCTGGGACATGAAGATGGTCGGCAGAAAGTATAATACTGCTCAAAGTCAGCCTTGACCACAAATACATGCTTGCATTTGTTGCACATATAATCCCGCTCAAACTCCAGGACCTTCACCAGACTTGTTTGAATCACTGTCCCAGTGACAGATAAAAAGTGTCCTACATCCTTGGTTTTAGGGATGTGCTCCCTCACCAGCTCAGGACAGACAGGCAAACCTGATGAAAACAAAACCCAAAAAAAACAGAACACATCAACCTATACCTTTGGATTTATCTCTATGAAATATGTTCTCACATTCCTGAAGGAAAAAAAAATATAATTTCACCTAAAAACCTTTGTGTTTTACTTAAGAAATCAGAACTCAAGAAGATAGAAAAGCATTTCAAACAATAATTACCAATGGATACATTAAAAGTTTATATCTAGATGATATAATAACCACGATTTTAAAAAGGATTATTTCTCACAATAAGGCTATTTCAGTAGGATCTAAGTATAGTATATAGTTATTACCACATTCAACAAAGAATACTGCCATGTATTAAAGCATAAAGTGATAAAGCAACACTTTATCTTTTAAAGCCTATGCGTTTCACCATTAATAAACAGGCAACTGAAAATTGCAAATTGCCAAAGAAAATTCTTTTGTGGAAATGCCCTTTGTCAAGTTTGACATTGGAGCAGAGAGATGATGGCTGTGAAGGTCCAAGGCTAACAGGTTTACCTAGGTACAAATGTTCATGTCTCATGGTCAATTGTTTTGTCCAAAACCTGACAAGTATGCATACTGAAGACAGCTATAGAATTTGTCAAGTTCATGAGAAATAACCATAATAGGTATGATTATACTTGGAAGCCTAATAAAAACAATGATAAAAATAATGATGATGATGATAATCAGAAGACAGTCTGGGAAGCATGTAAATTTTTTAAGAAAGCAAATTAGTCAAATGAACTGAATGTTTAAGGCACCAAGCTACAGTAATCTGGTGTTACAAATCTACAGACAGACTTGAATTTTCTGTTGTTGGCTGAGCTCTATCCTCATTCACTGTGTATTGTATAAACAAACGAGGCACTGCCAACATTTACCACCAAGACTCCTTTTTCTATGCTTCCAATGCTGACTTGCCCACTTTCTGATGGACTGTTTCTTACTTATATTAATTCAGGTTACATCACATTTTGCCAATAAGGGAACCATACTTTTGCTTAGGATGATTTTTGCATGTGTTGACTTTACAGTTTAACTCAGAAAACAAACTGATTTCTCTTATTTCCACATTCCTGGGAAATACTTCAATGAAACATTTGGGGGCTGAGAAATGCTGTATCACATGTACAGAAACAGACAGAGGTTAGGGCAGAATTAAAGAAGTGATTTTAACTATCAGAAGAAAATCCACTATTCATTTTTCATTTTTGATCCTTTGTTAAATTAGTTGTAGGTAACTAAATGTTAACTACCAAAAACATACCAGTATTTCCAGTTATACCAAGTAAAAGCTATACTAACAACCAAGAGCTTTTCATTTAAAGAAAATGAAAGAACTTGTATTATATATGTTTCAGAGGTACAACATCATTTTATTTCATACACTAGAATGTTAAGTTATCTTCCTTTTGCTCCCTACATGAATACTTTTCTTAAAATATTGAGATAAAAATTTATATACCACAAATTTACTCCTTTTTAAAGTATATAATCAAGTGGTTTTTAATATAAATAATTTTATAAATAATTTAATATAAATAATACTATATTTATTTATACTATAAATACTATAAATTTATTTATACTATAAATTTATTTATACTATAAATACTATAAATAATTTCAGATTATTTTTATTACTTCAAAAAGAAATGCTATACCTAGTAGCAGTTATTCCCCATGTCCCCTAAGCCCTTGCCTCTGGCAGTCACTAAGTTTTATTTTCTGTCTTTTTTGCTAAATAAATTTTTTAGCAAAAAGTGGTCTTTGGTGTCTGGTGTCTTTCACTTTGAACAAAGTTTTCAAGATTCATCTATGTTGTAAAATGTATAAGCACTTCATTCCTTTTCATGTCTGAACATTCTGCTATATGGATATACTATATTTATTCATCAGCTGATGGACACTTTGGTTGGTTGTCTCTACATTTTTTGGCAATTGTGAATAATACCAAAACAAACATTTGTGTCTATTTTTGTTTGAATATTTGTTTATAATAATCTTGGGCACACAGCTAGGAGTAGAACTGTTGAGTCATATAGTTAAATACACTTTTTTTTTTTTTAAAGATTTATTTTTAGGGCCTCCTCGGTGGTGCAGCGGTTGAGCGCTGGGTTGCGAAGCTGCCCGCAGCCTCTGCAGTGCTGGTTCGAACCCCGGCTGCTCCCAGGCCACCGGAGGAGGGTCCCACTTGGCGCGCAGACCTCTCCTGCCGCCCACTGCTTCCCTCAGCAGTGTACTTCAGTCCTTTTGCCTGTTCTGCTCCCCGTTCTGGCTCTGGTGAATTCTCTCCCCATCCCGTACTAATGACTGTACCCAATACTTGAATAAATAAATAAATCTTTAAAAAAAAAAGATTTATTTTTATTTATGTATTTATACAAGCACTGGGTACAGTCAGAAGCGCAGGAGGGTGAGAGACTTCACCAGAGCCAGAGTGGGGAGCAGAGCAGGCAGAAGGACCGAAGTACACTGCTGAGGGGAGCAGCAAACTGCAGGAGAAGTCTGCTGGGGAGCAGCCGGGGATCGAACCGGTGCTGCAGAGGCTGCGGGCAGCTTCGCAACCCAGCGCTCAACCGCTGTGCCACGGGGGAGGCCCTAGTTAAATACACTTTTAAAAATAATTTTATTTTTGTATTTGCAGAGTCACTAAGAGTTTGCTATGTAAGTATACAAATGGAAACTTAAGTGGGAATTAGGGTTATAAACACAATTTGCTTCTAGAAGTATAAACAAAATTTACCAATAATTATCTTTAAGAAAGGTGAGACAGCTAAAAAGGCTGGTAGGGAAAAAATGGGTTAAGAGAACTGATTTTAACAATAATTTTCTTGAATTTTTTGGAAATGTCTATTCTTTCTTTCATGGCCCCTAAAAAAAATATCATTTTTACAATCCAATTCTACTTCTTTAGTTCCATTCTGCTTCAAAAGCAAATCCATGGTTCAGTCTAAATTATAATATTCATGTATACAAACTTAAGAAAAAAATAAGATCTTTCTTTCAGAAAGAGCTGTGTAACTTTACTATCATGCATAACCACAGAATGCCCAGTAAACCCACAGTGTATTCAGAGACTTTGGATTTTCAATATGATGAAGTCCCATATATAACTGATGAAGTATTGTATAACTATTTAGATACATACTTGCTATTTTGGACTTAAACAAATTTTCATTTAAAAACAAAGCTATATGTAATTTTTTTTGTTGGGTTATTTTTTTCTAGGAAGCAATTTTTAATTTGATAGTGTTTCTTACTGTGAAGAGCAATTTAGAAAGGAAGACTAAAACATCATATTCCCCATTGCTTCTACAGTAACCCAGGCAAGAAATAATGAAGGCCTGTATGCAAATGTTTGCTTATAATCCTTCCATGGGTCTCCACAGACTGAACAATAAGGAACAAAATCTGGATTAGACAACAGGGCTTTTTTGTGGCTTTCATACTAAGCCTTCTTAGCACTCAAACATTTTACATATAGTGTCCTTTTTAGACAACACTCTTTCCCTCTATAAAATGCCCACTCTTAGCAGCAATACAAGAATCAAGAATATAGATTCTGGAGCTAGAATGCCTGCATTTGAGTCGTAGCTCTATCGTTTATTGTGTGACCCTGGCCAAACTGTAACCTCTCAGATTTCCTTTCTGTAAAATGACAGTAACAACAAAACTACCTCATATGATCATATGATTAAAAGAATTCATGGGCCTCCCCGGTGGCGCAGTGGTTGAGCGCTGGGTTGAGAAGCTGCCCACAGCCTCTGCAGTGCCGGTTCGATCCCCGGCTGCTCCCCGGCCACCAGAGGAGGGTCCCACATGGCGCGCAGACCTCTCCTGCCGCCCGCTGCTCCCCTCAGCAGTGTACTTCGGTCCTTCTGCCTGCTCTGCTCCCTGCTCTGGCTCTGGTGAATTCTCTCACCCTCCCGTGCTTCTGACTGTACCCAGTACTTGTATAAATAAATAAATAAATCTTTAAAAAAAAAAAAAAATTCGTATATGTAAAGTTCCTTAGGACAGCTCCTATCATAAAGCAAGCACCATTAAACCATTTGTTCCTATATGTAATATTTTTCCTTCTTGAAAGTTCATCTTAGGGGGGTCTCCATGGTGGTGCAAGGGTTAAGACGCAATCTATGAAGCTATCTGCAGCCACTGTAGCATGAGTTGGATCCCCGGCCAGTCAGGGAGCTACCCACATGGTGCAGCAGACCTTTCCTGACTTGCCCCGCTGCTCCCCTCAGCAGTGTATTTCAGTCAATCTGCCTGTTCTGTGTCCTACTCTGTCTCTGGTGAATCCTCTCACCCCCCACAACTCTGGCCAGTAGCCCAGTTCTTGTATGCATAAATAAATAAATCTTTAAAAAAATATTTAGATGCTTCATCTGACACTATTTAAACCAAAAGTTACTGGGTAACTAGAGGTGGTCAGCACAATGCTAAGCTTGAGATACTAAAAAAAAAAAAAAAAAAAAAAAAAAATTCCTAAAATAGTTTTGAAGATTACAGGGTAACATCTACCACTTTTCTAATTCTTTATATTATCAAGTATTTTATAATGTGAGTATAAAAGGACTTGTGGGCATATATACACCACTTGGTAACTGTTTAACTATATAGCTGTCTACCCTATTGGTAACAGTCGCAAAACCTCATAAAGCTGCTTTAAATTACAATTTTATACACACATGTAAATGTATTTATACGTATACACAATATACAGTAGCTTCCACACAATCTCTTACCTTAGTTGGTATGCCTAATAACCTAACCCAGCCTTTTCGATAACCAGAGAGAACAGTAGGAAATCATTATTCTGTTCTAAAAGTGACATCAATTACACAATAGATTATGAAATTATTCTGTTCTAAAAGTGACATCAATTACAATTAATTTTAGGTACAGACATCAAAAACATACTTTTAAGTATAGACACCAAAATCTTCCCAGAAAATAACATGGCAGTAAAATCTTTAAGTGACTTACCTGATATCCTGGCATGAAGATTCTGTTTCAAGGAGAAATCCTCAGGCTGAGAAAGAGACTGGAGAAGTGTCAAGGCTGATCTTTGAAGAGCACTATCAAAAATAGTGAGTACTTCATTGGGGCATGCATTGAAATATTCCCCAATTTCCATGTTGGTCTCAAAAAGGGTCATGGCATTAACCACAACTGAATAATGAGCATCTTCATCTTTTTCCTTCAAGATTAGAAGAATGTCGTTCTTATGGTATTCTGAGACATATGACTCAAACACTTGACCAACTAGTGTAACTTGATCGCTATTCATCTTGAATGAAGGTAACTAAAGAAAAAGAAAGAACAGTATTTTACTTTTGGTATTGTAGACATACAAACCAAAATCTTAACAAAAAAACTGTTTGGTTGTAATTCATTCTTTGTAATTTATTTGTCATTAAAGTAATACTGCATTATAGCATTACTTAAGTTTCAGGTGTGCACCACTGAAAACCAACACGTATATACTGTATTAAGTTCACCATTTCATTCTGACTTTGGCCACACTATATCAAAGTATTACCTAAATTCCAATCTTAATTTGAGCTGAAATTATGTGTTACAGTCATAGCCCTCTCCACCTGGCCATTCACAAGAGGTTTCCTCCAGTGCTTCATCAGACACACAACTGAGCAACATTTCAAACTGTAAGGGATGTAGTATGGCAAGCAGAGGGGGCACACAACTGCTTTCCACAAAGTGGCATGTTGGCCAGCTCCACTTTTGGCCAATCTCTGCTTGCAGTGAAGGACTTCTCTCTCTTTCCTAAAATTCTTCTGGTCAATAGTCAAGCCTTCATTCTGGTTGATGGTCTGTTGCCCATTTGCACGTTCATTGGCAGGGGTATGGAAGCTGGTGGTAATACTGATAATGCTTCCTTTGCGTATGATTTTGCTTCTTCACGTTAACGTTTGTTGTTCTGCATTTTTGCATCCCTCCACCAGTGATAGGCAAATAATTTATTTTTTAACATTTATTTTTATTTATTTATGCATATAAGAACTGGAGTATTAAAAAAAGAACTGGGGTATAGGCCAGAGAAGGAGGGGGAAAGAGGAGGATTCACCAGAGACAAGAGTGGGGAGAACAGGCAGATCTACTGAAATACACTGCTGGGGGTGCAGTGGGCGAAACAGGAGAGGTCTGCAGTGCCATGTGGGTTAGCTCCTTGGCCAGGAATGGAACTCATGTTGCAGTGGCTGGCGATAGCTTCACAATGCTGAGACTTAAACCCTTGTACCACCAGGGAGACCCATAGGCAAATATTTTAATAGCCAATCTTTTGGCTAAGTTACTCCTGGTAGAGTTCTTCACAGAGAACATAATCTTTCTTTCTCTTTAGTCTCTCTCTTTCTCTCTCACACACGCACACATACACACACACTCATGTGTATTCTGCTATATATTCAGATTGATAGTTCTAACTTGAATAATTAACAGACAGGCTTTAGAAATTTACATTTGAAGTGGCGAATTTGTTCACTATGACCTCTTCCTAAAGTAGGAAAACTACTGGCCTCATCAAAAACAACTGTCAATAGTGTAAATAAGCTAAGGAAGGGGAAATCATTTTTTAAATGATAAATAACTAGTATCTAACATGTATACATGTTGAATGTATACAATGTATACCATTATTTTGCCTATCTCACTTCCTAAGTAATATTTAAAACATTTTTTACATCTACAGATTAAAAGGATCACTCCATTCTATTTTCATGCATCTACTACACACTAGACACTAACGCTAGGAAATGGCAAGTACAGTAAAAGGTTCTCTAGGCTTGCAGAGAATCAAGGAACAGATCAAAGTGTGCTCAACAGTGGTAAAAATGAAGATGAAGAGGAATAGAAGACAGACAATTCAAGTTACACGGGATGATAATCCCAGAAGGGATAACGGGCAGTTACAAATAAACTGTCCAAGCTGATCATCTAAGAAACTCTAGAACTACAAAAAACTCTTGAACTATAGAAAAATGAGCAAAGAAAATTGCTATAAAATTAACAGGTTAGTATCCTAAATGTGTTACTTATACTATTTATTGGCAATATTTTGCCTTTCCTGAGAATCTACTATTCTGAAATGAGAAGGGGGAGTACACCAGTTAGGCTATGAATTCCGACAACTACAAGTGTAAGATGAAGAGAAACGCATATGTCTGTCCAAGAGAAAATGAGAGCAAATTGTGGCCAAGACATTGGTAAATAAACCGTTTTCTTTAATTCAACCAAGTGTAGAGCAAAAAAAAGTGCTTAGGAATGAACATATCATACAGCATTTTCTCGATTTGGCCTCTGCTTAAAAAAAACCTAGATACCCAAGACTGGTTACAAAAGACTCTCTAAGATTCTATCAATTCACACAGTATTAAATTTGGAGCCCAAAATGTAGCAATTTGAAAAGCCGTTCCACATAGGGCTGGCGGCCACACAATTCATGGTTCAAATTAGGGTCAGATAAAATTTCGCTTTTTAAAAAACAGCATTCACTTTCAGTATCTGCGCAAAACTGACTTATCAACCGTTTCTAAACTCTCTGCACGCCCTATAAACAGGCCCATCAAGACAGAGACCGGGGCACCCACTGTTTCCCAACTTTCAAGCTCCCTTTCCTTTTCCTTACGATTTGGGGTCAACCTAAAGCCGAGCTGCGCTCCCTGAGCGTCTGCGCCAGAGTCGCGCCAACCAGAAGAGCGAGCGGGACCTGCGACGTCCAGCGGGCGCGCGGCACCCGGCGGGAGCCACGCCCCCAAGGAGGGGGAGCCGGGCGCCGGAGAGCCCGCCAGGCCGGCGACGCGTGCGCCTGCGCGCCTGCGTCACTCGGCGCCTCCCCCGCGGCGCTGACAGGTCAGCCCCGCGCGCTCCGGCCGCGGGCCGCGGCCCCCGCCCGCACCGCCTCGGCAGGCGTCCTGCGCTCGCGGCGGGCTCCGGGCAGCGCCGCCCCGCACGGTCCCGACTTGACGCTTTTGGAGTAACCATATGGGAACGAGAGCTGGCACTCGCGGCGGGGAGAGAAAACAAAACGCAAAAACGGGAGCGCGGCGGCGGCTGTCACTTACGGGCGGAGGCGCGGCGTCGGGAGTCACCGGGCGCGCCGTCTCCGGGGCCGAGGGGGACGGCGCCGCGGCCGGACGGCGGGGCCCGTGGGGGCGGGGCGGGGCGCAGCGCGCGAGGCCGCGGGAGGCGCCGGCGGCCGCGGGGGCGCGCGGGCTCTGGCGGGCTTGCCGCGCGCCACGGTGGGATAGGCGCCACGTGGGCGACTGGGCTCGGCCCGCGCTCCCGACGTAAACGGGCCTCGCCGCACCTCAACTTCGAAGCCCAGGAGGCTCTTCCGGGTGCAGTAGCAGGCGGGCGCTCGCCCCGCCAGCTCCCCGGGACGCTAAAAGGCGGGCGGGCGGGCGGGCGGGCGGGCGGGCCGGCCGGGGCGGGGCGCGAGGAGTCCTGGGGTGGGGCGGGGCGGGGCGGGGCGGGTCCTCGGGCGGGGCGGGGCGAGTCCGGGACGAGTCCTAGGGAGGGGCGGGGCGAGTCCTGGGGAGGGGAGGGGCGGGGCGGGGCGCGGTTGGAGCCGAGCTGCCGCCAGGGCGACTTAGGAAGGGGCGGGGCGATGTGCGGTCCTGCTTTACTATCAAAGAGTTCTGCCAATCCCCAAAGGCACGAAATTTTCAGCTATGTTTTCCTTTAGAAGTTTCAGAATGTAAGGTTTTAGGTTTCGGTCTACGGTCCGTTGAGCTAACTTTTTGTACATGGCGAGAAGGGTGGATTATAGGGAACCCCTGCATGGGGCTGTCTAGCGCCACTTGTTGAATAGCCTTTGCACTTAGGTGAAAGAGGAGAAGTACTTCTGCGTGTGAGTCTGTGACTTGATTTTCTGCTCTCAGAGAATGAGTCAAAGTCAGGTGGTGTTTGACCTCCAATTTTGACCTTTCAGATTATTCTGGGCTCTTCTATTTCCATATGCATTTCAAGCCAGCTTGTCATTTTCTGTTAAAAAACTGGAATTCTTATTAGGGTTGCATAGAATCTGTCCCTCAAGTGGGAAGAATTTACATGTTAATTTGTTGCGTCATGACCTTGAAGGAAGTACATCTAACCTCTGATTTAAGTGTTAATTAGTCTTAACAGTATTTTGCTCTTCTGTCAGAGCTCAGTTTTAGCCCTAATAGCATGTGGGACCACGGGATCATATTTTTTCCAGTTTTATTGAGAAATAATAGATACGTATCACTGATAAAGGTATACTGCGTTATGGTTCGATTAATATATATCTTGAGTGAGCGCCAAGCTAACATTCACCTTCTCATATAGATACAATAAGAAAATAAAAAAGTTTTCTCCTTGTGGTGAGAACTCGGGATATCTTTTTTTTTTCTAAGGTTTATGTATTTATAATAGCATACAAGAGCTGGGGTACAGGCCAGAGGTGGGTGGGGAGGCAGTGTGAGAGGGCTCACCAGAGACAGAGCAGGGAACAGGACAGGCAGATTGACTGAAATACACTCCTGAGGGGAGCAGCCAGGAGAAATCTGCTGCGCCTTGTGGGTTGCTTCCTGGCTGGCCACGGATCGAAGTCATGCAGCAGTGGCTGGCAGTGGCTTGCTAGCTGAGACTTTAACCTCTGTGCTACCAGGGAGGCCCTTATTTAAGTCATTAATTCACTTTGTATTAATTGTGAGTGGTGGGTGTGTGATTAGGGTTTAGTTTTATTCTGTCATGTTAATATCCAATTATCCCAGCACTATTTATTGAAGAGACTAGACTGTCTTTTACCCACGGAGTGCAAGCATATCTCAGAGCACTTGCAGATTCGTTCCAAACTACTCAATAAAGTGAATATAAAAATAAATCAAATGAATTTTTGTATCCTCCTGAATCGTGTGCAGTGCTGTAAACTATTGTTACCTCGATAATCAAAATAAAGTCCTAAATGCTGTATTTTCCCTTTTTCTCAAAGGTACTTTAACAAACTTGTGAAACTTGTTTTACTGTAAAAAATAATTGAGAATACCCTACTTTATCTAATTATATACAACAATGAAGTTTGATGAGGAATTCATTCTAGAAATCAGGGCTAAGAAAACTTTTTTTTAAGGAAGATAAATTTTATTCTCCCTCTCATATGTGAAAATATTTGAGACTTTTTCCGATTCATTTTTAGCTGGGTCCAAATTAAGACATTACTCTCAAAATATTTGGAATTTGAAACTTAACTAAGAAACTTGTTTGTGATAGATTTCCAAATATCTAATTTGTGTTGCTTTTTGAAAAATTTTTGTATATGGTTGTAACTTTCATATGTGGACATGAAGCATTTCCAACCACATTATAAATTGTTTTCTTTATCCCCTAATGCACATTAATACTCTATAAAACCTGATGAAAAACATAGCAGAATTGTCATGGTTTAGTTGTCCAAGAAGCCCTTCTGCTGTAGCTCGAGCACATGTTGCGTCGGCAATATCACACTGATAAACGGAAGTCATGGAGCAGGCTGCACAATGCAGGATGCTGCCGAAGGAGCAAGATCCTGGACTTTTTACTGAGAGAATCATCATACAGCATCAGTTACGTGGGGTAGGAGGAAAAAAAATGGGTGAAACTGAAAAGGTGCTTATGTCATCTAAGGATTCAGGGGGACATGAAGATGCTGACCAGATAATTTTTTTTTTATAATTTTATTTATTTAAAGATTTATTTATTTATGCATACAAGAGCTGGGGTACAGGCCAGAAGTGTGGGCAGTGAGAGGATTCACCAGAGACAGAGTGGGAAACAGAACAGGCAGATTCGACCAAAGTACACTGCTGAGGGGAGCAGCAGGTGAGACAGGAGGTGTCTGCTGCGCCATGTGGGTTGCTCCCTGGCTGGCCGGGTATCGAACTTGTGCTGCAGAGGCTGCAGACAGCTTCACAGGCTGTGTCTTAACCCCTTGCACCACCAGGGAGGCCCTGACCAGATAATTCTTACCTGCTTGATGATCAGTGTTGTAACTGAAACCAGACCCCAGACCCCGGCTTGGTTCCAATCTTAACAATGCATTCCACTGATCAGCTTCTGGGGTCCCTTGTTATATATCAGTCAACAGCCCCCCAGGTGTTCCCGGTGATATCTTGTGATGCATACCCTTCCCAGGGTGATTAAGCTTTCTGTTCTTGATATGAAAGGCACCTTGTAATGTTAGGCTCCTATAACTGACTGAGCAGTTCTGACCTTGTATAGGAAAGCAGAACTGAAGGTAACAAAACTGGCCAAGTAGGCCACTTGGATTAGCAGACCCACAAGCATACAGTATCATCTATGCAGAGAAAGTATTCTCTTTACCCCATATTTAAAATCAGAGTGTTTGGGCTGCCTCCCTGGTGGCACAAGGGGTTAAGCCTCAGACTATGAAGCTATCTGCAGCCACTGCAGCACAAGAGTTCTATCGCTGGCCAGGAAGCTGACCCATATGGCTCAGCAGACCTCTCCTGACTCGCCCACTGTTCCCCTCAGCAGTGAATTTCAGTTCAATCCACCTGTTCTGCTCCCCACTCTGTCTCTGGTGAATCCTCTCACCCCCTGCACCTCTGGCCTACACCCCAGCTATTGTATGCATAAATAAATATTTCAAAAAAATCAAATCAAATCAGTGTTTGGGAAAAAAACTTCAACTTACAAACTTACTGTTCGATGATGATGAAAGGTCTTAGGTAAATATTTTAAGATATGGTGTTAGCCAAAGCACAAATTTCAATCACACCTACGTATCATTGGCTAATGGTTAATTCCTATTCATCTTTTAGTATGATGCCTGGGTATGATGTCAGGCTTTCCCTGTACCACTCAGGTAGACTTCTTCCCTCTGTTCCCTTTGTATGTTTCAAAAATCTTATTTGTGGCCCTTCTGATAATATTTTTTAAAAAGTTTAGTTCTGGACTATTTCTTTAAATACATAGTTAGCTCCTTCAGGACAAAGTGTTCATCAACTTGTATGCCTGTACTAATACAGTCATCAGTATGAGCACCATCAAATCTTTGGTAAATATCCAAATTATAAGAGATATATAAACTAGGGGCAAGAATTTACATATAACTAGATTTATTTTCTGAAATATGCATATTCATTTTTCTTAAATTCAGTCTCTTAGTGGAAGAAAAAATATCAGAGCATGTATTTTATAAAACTTTTTTTTTCAGTATAAGAAAATGCGATCAACTGTACACACATTCAATGCAATGATTTGTTCCTTGAAGGTTTTGTGAGGATTAAAGAAGATAATCTTTCTACTGCCCTCTTTGCACAGTGCCTGACACATGACATGATTTCACAGATCATGTATTTGCATTTATCTTGTTCATCCAAATATTTCTAAAATATATTGAGCCTACTGAGTCAATTTGACACTTTTAGAAATAATGCACTATTTTGGACCATAAAATACAATATAGTTGCCCAGATGGACTATAAGCTTAATGGAATAAACACTCTCATTAATATATGATGTGGTTAACAATTTACACAGCTTTTAAGAATTGACTCCTTTGCCCAATAATACAGTCCATACATACTAACTCTTCTAGAAGTTCTAGATCCTCAATTGTAAGAATAAAAAAAAACCCTAAAAATAAATCATCAGTATTTTATATATTTGAAAGTCTACAGTTTCCCACAAGTGTTTTCATTCCAGCTTTATAAATTTAGAGAACACAGTTTGTAGTTATACAGGGTAATGTTAATGGAACAAATTAATAGATTGTATTTCCCTGTTCTGATTTTATCATGAGTATTAAAGTCAAATAATTTCACATGATTACTGACACAGTAAAATTCTTTTTGGGCAGTCTTACGTAGAATTTAAGGTGTCTAAAAATTAAATTTACTAGAAAGAAATGAAAAGCATTATTGTTTGTTCTAACAAAATTTATTATGCAGTAATTACAAAGGTTCAAGACTCTTCCATCTCAAATAAAAATAACTTATAATTACACACATAATATAATACTTTATAGTGTGATTCCAATAAATACCACAGGAAATACAGTGCATTTTCAAATTGGAGTGACACATACTTTCTCATTCACAGTGTTTGACATTGGAAAGCCTGCTCACATAATGACTTGTATAAGGTCATGCTCTTAGTAACAGTCCACACAGAGCTGTGTCAACACAATTCTTTCAGAATGTGAAGTACCGGGCAAACCACTCCTGGCGCTGGGGATCCGGAGAAGCCACCGGGGAAGCTTCACTCTGAGGAGGACTAAATTCATAAAAAGAGAGACATGTAACCCAGCATTAAGCTGTTTTGCAAAATGAAGGGAAAAGCACATAAAACATCAATGTAGATGACAACACATTCCCTTTGTTAGAAATGTGCTTGAAGGATTTGCTACTCCCCTACATTAGATTCGTTCTCCACTCCAAGAGAACAGGAGAGTACAGCAGCAGCTCAGGTGAGGTCAACTAGGGAGGAGCCACATCACACAGCAATTACAAAAAACAAAAACAGTTGAGAAAAAATAGTGTCACCATATTTGAAAATTCAGGAGGAAATGAGGGAGGAGAAACCAAGATAATACTCCTCTCTTTCAGCACCTTTCTGTTAATTAGAATTTCAGAACCTAACACAAACATTTTATTCTTACACACATGTTCTTAAATATAACCGAATTTAAAAACAAAGTTATAATATCTTACTATATGTATTTTATAAACTTTGGTAATTCCATAAACATACACTCTAGAGGGAAAGTGAATATATTAAGAAGCCAATTTCCCCTCCATCTACAAGTTAGATCATTTATACTTTTCTTAATTCTAATTTAATATTCTTGGGCTAGTTGAGAAAACGAAAGAATCCCTACCGTCTTTGGGGGAAATTACAAGGCACGCAACAATGTGTAATGGAAACTCCAGTAGTCATGTTCCTTGAGCTCATGCACATGCATCCTACTGTTTCCTGAGCATCCCCATGCACAAGGGAAAATAAGCAACACAAAATATTTAGCAGGAGACACAGTCACAGTTGTATCTGACTTTTTTTTTTATTCTTCCTATTTTAGTTTATTTGTAAGACTATTGTTGGTGACAAAACTCAGATTTAGTAAGAATAAGTAAAAATAAAGCAGCACAAAATCAGTAATAGGTAAGCATAAAATGATAGTACTTTCTGATAATTGAATTTAATTCAAATTTTTCTTGTTACTATAAAAATTGTTCATTTATATCTATTACCCCTCTCTCTTTAAGAGAGAGAGAATTTATCATTTTCTAAGAGAGAGAGATCAAGTTCCCAGAGCTCATATATTTTTCATTTTGGTAATAAACATATATATTATAAATAAGCTCTGTAAACAAGAAAGGGAACAGAACATAAAAAACGCTTAATAAATACTATCTTAAAGTTTTGTAATAACTTTCATAAGGATGGCTTATTAATGAGAACTTGGTGACAATAAAGAAATGAAGCAAGTGTCCATAAATGTTAAGACTGTTAGCTTCTGAATTATATTACCATCTCTTTAAGCATTTAGAAAATTGACAAGAAATTAGCAACAAAAAAGAATTCTCTAGAGAGGTGATAAATATATTTCACAGTAATATTCCTTTTTTCTAGGTTATTCTTAAGGTAATGTGGATGTCTGTAATGTAAAACAGTATATTTCTCAAGTTAAAAAAAAAGAAAAGAAAAAAGTCACTGGTGAGACGGGCTCACCTCAAAAATGTCTTGGGCTCTTTGGGTGGCACTGGCTGTGGAAGTGGTTTGCTGCTGTTGAACTCAATGTCGTGGACTGGAGAATTAGGAATGGGGTCCAGGCGGTTGGGATGTCCATTGCCCACTCCACTAGATTCCAGAGCACTGAGATTGGGAACACTCACAAACCTGTTTGATGGTGATTTATCATTCTTCTTCTTTTGCTGCATTAAAAATAATACATGTGAGGATAGTCCCTGCATAAGGACAAATGAGAAAATAGGAATAGCAGAGGATAAAAATTTGGCATGGGAAAATTTTGAAAGCTTTGTAAATTCAGATGTTAAAATGAACCAGTGTTACCCAAAGTGTGGTCTGGGGATCCTTGGAGGTGTTCTTTATCTACATGGAATCCTCATAGACAAACATGCTGCTAGGACAAAGAATGAGGAAGAAACACTTAGGCATGGTTCATGGGGAGGAGGCGAAGCTGAAAAGAACACCAAGGGATGAAGAATCCAGGGAGGAAAGGGGCAGAGAGAGAGGGAAAGAGTAGGTCTGGCAGATACCATGAGTTAAATGGATTTAGGTTAAAATTTGGAGAAGGGGGAAAGTTAAACATAATTTTTTTCCGGCGCTGCAGAGGCTGCGGGCAGCTTCGCAACCCAGTGCTCAACCGCTGCGCCACCAGGGGAGGCCCTAAACATAATTTTGAAAGAGAGGTCCGTGAACTTTAGCCATCCGTCAAAGGGATGCAGTCCTTGCCTAGAAAAAAAAGAGGAATGAAAATGCTTGGCAATGTAGTTTAAAACAAATCTCACATTTCTACTTAAGATCTAAAGCTGACCTAGAGGAAGCATTAAGTTTTAAATTCACTACACCACTATTCTGAAGAAAAAAATTCGATCTGCATAATTCTTATTTCCTGATTAATTAGATCACAATTTAAAAAAAATTTAAAGGTTATAAAACAAAAGTGATCAATGCTTTTTTTAATATATATTTCAATTGTTTTTTAACCAATGAAAAGAGGAATAAGAATACAAGCACAGATTATCAAAACCTATCAGCTTGCAAATCATTAACTTTAGCCTCTGTGCTATTACACTTTTAGAAACAATGAGCATCATCTTGCAATGCAGAATGAAAATTAACATGCAAGATATTTTGAATACAACTATAGTCTACTAATTAGATGTATATAATTAAATGTATGAAACATTTTACAAAATGGTTCCAGTGCTTGGAAAAAAAATATAGTAGACAAGACAGCCTTTTCCTTCACTTATGATCTTGCTATCTAGACATTGTTCTTTGTCATAGCTGTGACAAAGAGTTAGAGTTAAAAATGAGTTCCTGACAAGGAGTCTGTTTTAGCAGAATGAAAAAAAAAGGAAGGAACAATAATTTCTTCAGAACTGTTTTTGAAAATTAAAGTCATTATTAGCAGTCAAAGTACTTTTAAAGTTTTTACAGAAATGTAGCTTTTGCATTTTCTTGTTCTGATCACAAGGGGGCATAATTAAACCAACATAAGATTTCTATTTTAAGAATCAAAAATATCACTGGTAAAATTCTATACTAATGGTTTTATAGCTAAAACTTTGATTTTAATAAATAGAGAAATATTTCTAATATATTTTGTCTAAGTCTAATAATGGAAATGAACAATATTATCCACCAATTATTTATTGAGTATCTTCTATGTATCAGGCTCTAGAGATAGTATTTTAGTGTTTTAGGCTCTAGAGATAGTATTTACAAAATATTTAAGTTAATCTATTTTATAAAACATTTATGTTAAAGTTAGGAGCACTTTAACTTGTGAAGGAAGGATAGATTCCCTATTTTTAACAGAGAAATTTTATGAACTTTAAAAGCAAAAATCTCCGGCTAAGGACCTAACAGAAATTAGGCATCATATGCAAATTAATAAAAATCTAAATTCAAAAATACCTTTAATACTTCATTTCTTTTTTAAAAACATTTATTTTATTTATTTATGGATACAAGAGCTGGAGTGTAGGCCAGAGGTGCAGAGGGGTGAAAGCATTCACCAGAGCAGAGTAGGGAGCAGAACAGGCAGATTTACTGAGATACACTGCTGAGGGGAGCAGCGGGCAAGACATGAGAGGTCTACTTCTTGGGTGGGTTAGCTAGCTCTCTGGGATTGAACTGGTGCTGCAGTGATTGCTGATAGCTTCACAGTGCTGAGACTTAACCCCTTATGCCACCAGAGAGGCCCCTAATACTTCATTTCTTTTACTGTTTGTGACAAAAGACACAATAGACACAATAGACATAAAGTCAATAGACATAATTATTAATCCCTTATTACATTATTCACTAGAATAATTTGTGGTCAACTATAGAAAATGAGATTTAATTTTGCAACTGAACAATATTTACTGAGGAGCCAGAGCATGCTGGGGCACAAAGAAGTATAAGACTTAGCCATATCCATTTCATTTCATTTCATTTATCTATCTGCCTTATGAGACTAACAAAGTATTGGGATACATCACATTCAATTTTAAGTATCAAGAAAGGCCATATGACTGAGAGAAGTAAAGTCCTTTTCTAAAGAATGGTAGACAACAAAATACATGCCCAACCCAAGGTCCATTAAGATGGCAAGTCTTAGTAATGGGAGCTGTTGGGAATGCAAAGATAGAGTGAAAACTAAGAAAATGAAAAGTTACTTTAAGGACATTTAACAGTTAGTTTTCCTTAGAGATATTAAGGTTTTTATAGTATTTTAAGGGGTAGAAGTTTTCAACAAATAAATATTAGTATCTCATTTCTCATTTAGAAAAAAGAATAAAGAATTCATAGATTTTAGTCCTAGATTATTAAATTTAAGAAAACATTTTTTGGAAGATTCATGCTACCCTAAATATTTTATAAACATTTTAATCAAGTTTTACAACACATTCCTCTTTACAGTGTTTACAGCACATACCTTAGTCAGTGGATTAATAACACCAACAGTGGGACTTGAATTAAATACTTTGTTGAAGTTCGTTTCTCGATTGACTAATTCCAACTGATAAAATTTATTATCCTCCTATGGAAAAGAATTACAAACAGCTTTTAAACATTTGCTAATGAATATTTAAATACTTAATTGTATAAAGGTCATTTCACTCAAAATTTAACATAAAATCTGAAGATTTATGTTGCCTGTACAAAGATTTGTAGCTTTGACTTTCAGTGTTAAAGACGCTCCTGAATAAGAGTTCAACACCTTCCAGATCTTATACCCCAGACTCTCTTCTACCCTTCAACACCCTTTTCCTCTGAAATGAGACCTAAATGTTTTATTTGTTGCCATCCCTGTTCCAGAGGGCTGACTGTGAGGGTTGAGCATGCTTAACTTCCATTTCCTGGGATGTATGCTTGGTTAATTATTTCCATATGTGAAGATGACACTATTATATCATTATTCGTGAATATTGGAAATTTTTGCTCCTGCCTAATGTCTCTGAGACATAAATGTGAAGGGTCCTTACAGAGATAAACCCTTTCCCTTTGACCTCACCAACATGTGCTAACTGGACAACCAAACTTTAGGAAGTAGACACATAGTAATTAAATGGTACAGTGTGTGTTTAATGCAGGATTCCTCATCCTCACTCTTAGTGATGACTATCATTTGTGTCAATCTCAGCTTGTGTGCCCCATAATTCATAGAATTGGGATGTAATAAAGAATATGAAATATCCTTGGCGATTCCTGTTACCAACTAGCTGTGTTGCTTTGAATAGTTACTTTTCTCTTTACTCTAATTTCTATTCTGTAGTGTGGAAAAAGCACTCATATCTGTAAAACCTACTTAGTAAGAACTAGAAAATCAATAGCTATTTCCACAGATGACAAGTATATAATACATTTACTAATTTCATGTGTAGAATATAAGGCAATTTCCCATGAGTCTTCTGCTACCGATAGGGCAATCTATAAGGCCTGTATTCATGTTTACAACGCTTAGAAAACTGGGAGGTTAGTGGGTTAAAGTAGCACACACTCATCTTTTCAATGCCTGCGCCTTGGTTCTAGCTATGAGCCCCAATTTACTAGCTGTTGCTTTAGGCAGAATTTCTCATATCAGACAATGGTCTGGGCTTCATTCTGTCTAGAGATTTGTTAAGGAAAAAGGAATTCAGAACGAAAGGCACTCAAGTTTTCTTTGCACTCTAATTCCAGTTTTCAGTTTAAGAAATCAATGAACAAGCAGCGATTAGCATTCTATTTGTAGTTTTACTCTAAAGATTTTTGTGTTGGTGGAAGTAAAAAGTGGTCTTAATTGTTGATCAAGATATTTTAAAAGACTCTGAAAGGTTTTATGAATTTTAAAATATTTATGTATTTTTTTTTATTTTTGAGAAATAATGGCTTTAATAAAGGTAATATATCTATTGTTACATCTGTATTTTCTTCCCTGATAAACTTTTCAGATCCCTAATACTTCTGTGTGTACTGAGGCTCTCAGTTTCCAGCTTTCTTAAATTAGATCATGGAACCCTTTTGTCATGGAGTATCTTCTGGGATCAGGGTTCAGTAGAACACACTTTAGGAAATTAGCATGACTAACCTGAAATGCACAATGCAGGTTAATGCATGCATGTGTAGACTGTTCTTTACTATTCACTTTCTTTCTCTTTCTCTCTCTCTCTCTCTCTCTCTCTCTCTCTCTCTCTCTCTCTCTCTCTCTCTCTCTCTCGCGCGCGCGCACACACACACACACACACTCTTCAGTTGTATATTAATTGTACATTGGCAGTGATATGATGAAACATTTCATGTGTATTAAAGACTATTTCTTTTTTAAAAATATTGAAAAGAGAGGCACCTCTGAACCTAATACCAAATTTTAACTTTACAGTTACTTTGTATTTCTTCTCCTTACTCATACACATTTTAATAGTTTTAATCACAATGTACAGATATACTTTCAATTTTCATTTAGAATTATTTAAAATATTTTCCCAATCAACAATCTATTGATTACTAACAATGCTGCACCAAAAACAAAATTATCTTACAATTAGTTTCTTTATAACCTGATCTCTTTCTGTAAGCATGGCTTTTAATTCTGTAATCATCTGTATATCCTCTGGTTTTGATTCTCTCATTAGATACTTTTCTTCCATTTCTTCTAGTCTAAAAACAAGAAAACTTTTAGTTCATTGACATGAGTCAGACAAATTCTTTTGTACTATATTTTTCAAATTAGTCCAAATTTAAAACCGAAGTTTTCCCTCTAAAACCTTTAAGCATAATGACATGGTTGTCTCAAGACCTGCAGAGTACTAAAGGTTCTCCCAGGGTATATGATATTATTAAAAGCTTTGCAGGTGACTGAAGAATTCATGCAGCTTGTTATTGAAGAGTATATGGGGATTATTTATGAGGTAAGTGCTGTAGAATAAATGATATACTAAATGATAATCTAGCAAATACAGGTTTGATGCTAGAAATGGAAGCTTACTATTAGGAGAGCTTACCACAAATACAATATTGTATGATGATATAAGTCTTGATAACATATATAAAAGAGACAGAAGAGATATAGAGGAAAAGGGCACAAAGGACACACATACATAACATCATTCCACACATATATGATATCATTCATTCCTCATTTATGGGAAAATACAGTTTAAAAATTCTGTGTTATCATTTAATACATACAAACTGTAAAAAAAAAAAAATGGTTCAACAGACAAGAAAAGAAGTATATTTTCTTCTAGGTCTATTCTTCCCTGAATGAAATGAGAAATAAGAATGACTACTACTTAAGACTTTACAGGTCACTTTTTATGAGCAGGAGTGACATAGAAGCTGCAGAGTCTAAGAATATTTAGGATAGGGTAGAATTTTAAGGATGCAAATGGAGAATAATGGTTTAATTGGAAAAAACACTTTCAGTTTTAAAAAAAGGATTAGAATTTTTTAGTTGTTAATTTTTCATTATTTATTTTTTAGAAATATTTTAAAACATTGTTTTCAGAATATGAAGAATAGGACTTAAGCTCAATAATATTGTTAATGAATATCCATAAAAAAATTTATTTACCCAACAAATATTAAGTAACTTTTAGATGATCTACGAGGAATCAGTAATATACCCCCACCCTCCAATTCCAGAGGGGTATCACAATTCCTATATATTTCAGTAATTTTCATAAACTCCATTAACTCAATCTGAAATAAAGGTTTATTTGGAGATAACATACTTGGTTCCCTATCTAGCCCCATGGCTGAAGTTCTATCTTTTGTGACAGTGCAACTGAGTGAAAAATGATGTGATCAACTGAGCTCACATAAAGTGACCTTGCATTTTATCATAATATAGCATTTATATGTTTCATAACCAAAGTTTTAAGCCTTTTGAGAAACAGTGATCTCATCAAGGATAAAAGCTTTTGGGTTTAATACTGGAGTAGCCACAAGGTGTCACTGGAGTACTTTATCATTAAAAGCAAAGTACAGGATTTTTGAACTGTTTACTGTAGCTAAACAAGAATATCTGGTAGTAAATGGTAGTTTAGTAAAAACTCTAAGTTTAAAGCTATTATTTTTCTCTTTCTGTTATGGTACAAAGAAAAAGTCAATCTAAAACAATCATTTACATCCTTAAACCACCTTTTTGTGCAACAAAATTCTAGTGTTTGCTTTCATTTAGATTAAATATTCTTTACCTACAAAATCATCATCAGTTAATCCTCTCTACAAAATACCTCTACATTACAAAAAAAATTTAATGAAAGAATACCTGGATATTTAAACTGAAAAATAATTAAGAAACATAATCACTGTAAATGCAAATGGAAAGCATTAAAGGAGAGAACAAGAAAATAATCTATATAAATTTAACTTGAAAATCTATTTCAGAATTTATATATATATTTCCAGAATTATTAGTCTTTTGAAATCCTAAGAGGAAGAAAACTTAGTCTATTCCAATATGCAATATCCATTTTAAGCCAACAGAACACTTTATTTTAATTGCCCCCACACCGCTCTACATATTGCAGTATATCGCAAAGACTAAGTATGAAACTGGTAGTGATACAGGAGATGGCTTTTATTGTCTATTCCTTTAGTCATGGTGATGACAAGAAACAAAGTATCAGTCTGATTCTCTACAACTTACATGGCCTTCATAACATATGCTTATTACTCCATTCAATAACACTAAGGCAGCCCTTGAAAATCAATGCCAGATTTATATTTATAGAATTACAGTTTAGCTTCTATTTTGAATAATGGATTTTTCAGTAGTGATCATGGTTTTACTGTAGACATAATCACATTTTCCTATTAAAATTTTACATTAAAATGAGTCATCTGAAAATAATATCAAAGGTAGTTAGAAATGACCAAATTCCCAATGGTTATATAGAAATGATTAAAACCTGGGAAATACTGCTTTGATGGAACCACACAAGTACATAAAGGCTTTGACCCAAACTACAGATTCAATGTAATACAAAGAAAAAACAGAGACTGAACATGTAACATAACTAACTAGGCTCATTATTGGGTTCTCCCCAGGCATGGGTGCCCTTATTTTTTAATTGATCATATGCAGGTTATGACTATGGTTCATGAATAATACAAACCAAAATATGAATGTCCAAAATATTATACAAAATTGTATAAAAAGTGTCCTGATGGTTTATCCATGCTGTTTTTTAAAACAAATAACTGACAAAAACTCAGAGAATTGAGATTTTAGAGCCAATCACATTTTAGGCATATGCATATTTTAGAATTTCAAATACAAAAAGTAGAAGAACTGAATTATCATGTCTTCCCTCTACAGCCTTAAGGAAATAAGAGTAATTGAAACATTTTAATGTCAAACTTTTTAACTGAAGCATTTTAATATTGAACTTTTCCTTCCCCATAAATTATGGCACACACTCCAACTTGTAGCACAATTAGTACATCTTTACTTCACAAAGCTTATGAAAATATACTCAATAGTAATTAAATATCAAATAACCACAACAAAAATTACTAGAGTACTACAGATAAAAGATACACTAACAACTCATTCTGGTGTGGTTTGAGTACATCTTTCAAATTAGTGATTACTGACATACATAAGTCCAAGACCAAGAAGAAATAATCTTTTTGCTTCATTATAGAGAGAAGTTAATGTAAAGTAAGCTTAAATGACAATAATCTCTGAACCACCTTTTTTGCATAATAATGATTTCCCAAGTCCAAATTCTAAGTTTAATTTTAGTTTAAATTCTTTAAAACAGCCCATTCTCTCATTTGTTTCTAAAACAAACACCATGACATTTTTATTAGAAAGTTTTTACTAAGTTATCACTCAAGAAAAAAAAAAAAACTATTGGATATCTGAAAATCTAAGAATATTAATATCCAACACAAGAGGAAAAGACTTCCAACAATCACTCTGTAAGAGATACTAAATTCTTACCACCATTTCTACAATGTCTAGAGGCTGCCTTCCAACTTTTACATTTCTTGCCCCTTTGTCCCTAAAAAGTGCACCAGGGTTTGGAGGTAGGAACAAAAGCAAGATACTTCCAGCTGCTTCAGTAACCCCTTAGCTCCAGGCTTCATTCTGGCTGGCTGACCCATTTCCTCTAGTCCCTCCATTTATCACCACTTTTAAGAATCCACAGGATTTTTCAAGTTCAAAGCTTTAAAGTCACCATGCAGGTGACTGCAAACTCAATCAAGTACCTTGAGTTCTTTGAAACAGGCTTAGTTAGAATGGTTCAAATGTTGATTTCCCCCAGTTCATTAAACCAGAATGGACTCCCCCTGCTTACCACCTTTGTCTAAATGCAAAGCATTTTAGTAATCCAAGCAGGCTGCATTTAAGGATATGGAGCAGAAATCCAATTGCCTAAAACTGTGCTTTTCAATATGGTAACCACTTTGCCTATATGTGATTATATTTAAATTAATAAATAGTAAATAAAATTAAAAATTCAATTCCTTGGTTGCACTAGCCACAGTTAAAGTGTTCAAATCCACTGTGGATGGTAGCTACTGTACTGAACAAAACAGACACAGGACATTTTCAGTACCCCAGAAAAACTGAATTAGATAGCACTGCTCTAAAACACATTTGCATGTGTGTTTGTTTAACTAAAAGAGGAAATACTTAAAGCTAGAGACTAATTATCTGGTGAAAGAATACCATGGGTAGCATGGATCTAGTTGAAATATAAAACAAATGGTAAACCTAAAAAGGCATTAACATATTTGACTTATAGGTAATACTAATTCTTTAATTACTAAATTGGATCATAATATAGAAAATACTAAATTTATTTACTATTTACTGAAAATTCATATGTGCAAAATCACATAAAGCAGAAAAAAGTAAAAACAACATAACCTTATTCTTAAATTAACACTCTTAAGGAGACAGGACACACCAACAGATTTGTGTGTATGTGTGTGTGTGTGTGTGTCTGTGCAAGCTCATGCATACTTTCTTAGATTATGTTCTAGGGATGCTAAGATTTCAGGCAATCTAACTCATTTTTGCAAAATGTTCAAGGTTGTGACTTTCTACATGGCAGATACTTGAGCTCTTACTATGACTCAAAAGGATTTAAAAATCATCTCCAATAAGAGTAAAAACAAAAGTCACTCTGACTGGAAATTATGACAGGAGTCTCCTCACCAATTCAAGGGCAACTTCACAAAATAGTATATGTTATAGGGAATCCTAAAAAAAATTCACTCCTGAAACAATGAGTGCCTACTAATTCTGTGAAAATTGTGTGTATGTCTATTAGAAAGGACACCTCACCACTAAGCCTACAGAAGTTAAAGCTAAAGTCTGGCAGTCTGTTTTCTGTCTCTCCTAAATGAATGTGTGGAACAATATTTACTATGATACTTATTTGGTTAAATGATGAAACGTAAATAATGTTTAGATTGGGAAAGATAACAAAGTAGTAATGATTTAGGAGGTTATTCTAGACCATAAAGGACATCATAGGAGACATCATAGGAGAATCTTGGAAGAAAACCAAGGAGCTCAGCATGGTTGCCACAAGGCAATAGACCAGGCATCAGGGTAGCTGTTGGGTGAGGCAGACTAAGACAATACAGGAGCTAAATTTGACTTTAAAACAGAGGGTAATGAGATTAGTCACTATTTTGACTATTCAAATATATGGAGGTTTTTTTTTGTTTTTTTTTTTTAAAGATTTATTTTTATTTATTTATACAAGCACTGGGTACAGTCAGAAGCGCGGGAGAGTGAGAGACTTCACCAGAGACAGAGCGGGGAGCAAAGCAGGCAGAAGGACCGAAGCACAGTGCTGAGGGGAGCAGCGGGCAGCAGGAGAGGTCTGTGCACCATGTGGGACCCTCCTCCGGTGGTGGCCGGGGAGCAGCCAGGGATCTAACTGGTGCTGCAGAGGCTGCGGGCAGCTTCACAACCCAGCGCTCAACTGCTGCGCCACCCGGGAGGCCCTATATGGAGTTTTTTTAATGAAGTTTTTTAATTGATTGGAAGAAGAGATGGAAAGTAAAAAAAAAATCACTTGCAGCACTTTAGTGTAGAATAACTCTGAAATAAGTTGAATTAGGGTTTAGGTCACAGAGGTGAACTGAATACTACATGCTTTGGCTATAAGAGTTTATAAGTATCTAGCAAAGAAATGAGCTATTACATATTTTTTTAACAACAACAATTAGAAATTCCGGTACTAAAAATATTGGAGTTATTATGTATGAGTAGTAATTTTATTTGTGATGTGTTAGCTTTATTGAGTTTTAAAATAAAACAATTAAATGTTTGTTGTAGGAATTCTAAACAATATGTAGGCAGGGTATAGAAAATAAAAAGGAAGTCTTCGCTCTTTCTCCACTCCTAATATATCCTAATCCATTCCCTAGTGGGAACTACTATCATTAAAAATTTGTATTTGATTTTAAGATCTTTGGCATTTTTGTAAAATACATATATTATTAATGTATGTATAGAATCTTAATATTCCTACTGGTCACCGTATGCTCTTTTCACTTAATAATTATACAATAAACATCTTTTGAGTTTTCACCGCCACATGATAGTTCATGATCCTGAGGTGAGGGATGGTCTTTAGACAAGTATTGTCTTAGGAAAACCCTTGCAATAGCAGCCAATAAAACAATCATTCAATGGCCTCATCCTAATTGAAGAATATATCATACTGCAATTACCATTTGTAATACAGCACTTGTTTTCTTTTTTAAATATCATTTAATTAGATTCAAAAGAGCAGCTAATCTGAGGTTAGACACAGAGCTCCTCAGTTTACTACTTACATATTAATTTTCTTTAATATAATATGACTTACGACACTTGTAAAGCTGCATTTATTTCCTTGAGTAGCTCGTTAGTCTTATTAAAATCTGCCCGCATGATATTTTTCTCTCTGAGGTGGTCTGCTGTCATGACATCCAGCTCTTTTTCAAGTCTCTTGTTTAAATCTTGTTCATGTAACCTGTTTTATTTTTAGTTAAGAAAATGTTATTCTGAAGTCAAGCTTTTGAAAGTTTCTCTATTCTACCAGATTTGAAATGGTTTTAGGTATACCATAAAGAAATTCAATGGAAACAACCTAAAGTAAGTTACTTACTTTGCTCTGATTTTCCAGTTTGTTAAAGTTGTCTCCTTTAATGCTTTTTTAAATAATATTTTAAAGACTTTAGTTAATTATATGTAATTTCCAAAGTTAATGAATGCAAATACATCATGCACAACACAAACACTGTATCTACATTCTAGATTTAACATAGTCAGCAAGCAAAGTAAAAAGTAGCTTCAATTTCTCCCTAAAAGGGCAGTCCAGTCATAAACACAGGCATGTCATCACTATATACTACTGCATTCTTTCAGATAATACTACATGTGCCTTCTGTTGTAATTCATGGCATACCTCATCTGCTGGTTAGATTCACTTCGTATTCTGAGAATTTCTTTCCCTTTAAATTCCAATTCTTTGGTTAAGGCACTTATATTTTCATGAAGGTGATGAACCTCCTTATCCAAGTCAGAAATGTGATGCTCTCTGTGCCTTAATTCCTCTTGTAGATCTGTTATTCTACACAAGTGCTCCTTACTCTGCAAAATAAGAACAATTCTTAAAACTTTACTACATATTTGCTTTCTCTGTAGCAAGGAAAGAAAATGACATACTGGAATGTCAAGTGTAATAAAACTTATATTGCTTCAAAAGCAAAAAGTTAAAATGAGAAAACCTCAAGACTGCTTTCTTTTCCATATATATACATAAAGTCTTTATGTGGACATAGCTTCAATAATGTCAAAGCCACAAGGGACTCAAAAGACCACAAAAGTTTATCTCCCTCATTTTGCAGATGAGGAAACTAGTACACAAGAGATGATTTGTCCAAGGATGATTTATAATCAATGGTAGAGTTGCGACTCGAATATAGGGTACACTTACATACACAGTAAGTTATATGGTCCTGCAGTAAAATGCTGGCACACTTTAATCCAAAAAGAACCTTCTTCATCTATGGAGGTCACCCTAGCACATGTGTATGTACACAAACAAAACACACACACACACATCCATGGCTTAGAAGTAGCTCTGTCTGCCTAATGATGGTCTAGTAGCAATCTTATAGAGAAACTCTGTTCCATTTTCCTGTAAGACTGTTTTCTACAATTTCTGTAGACCTAGATATTGTCTATTTCAGTGTCAGTTTACTGAAGAGAACAAAACTTCCCTCTACAGTTATAAGGTAGTTCATTTAAGACTCTAGCCATGAAGAGAAAATTTGAGCTGATCATTTAACATAGCTCAAGACAAACAAGTTTGAAGTCCTAAGTTTAATAAACTAACAAACAGCTTTCATTGAATTATACCTAAAAATCCATCCATCCACTCATACATACATATGTGCAAGATTACAACCTAAAGGAAGTAACATTTCGTAAAACAAAATTTCTAAAGTGTAAATAGTGGAGATATGGAATAGGTCTCAAGAACCTGCTACTACTATAGCTATGCTACCCAATATGGTTGTTTCAATTTAAATTGGAATTAAAATTAAATAAAACTGAAAATTCAAGTTCAAGGTCATGCTAGACACATTTGGTTTATGTTAGTGACCACCACAGATGACAGTACAGAGACATCAACGTAGAAAGTTCTACTAGGCAGTGTGTTTTGTATTATTCTTTCTTCACTCTTTGTATCATTTATATTTCACTGTTCATTTTCTCAAGATGCACGTAAAATTCAAAATGTTCAATTAAAAGTAAAAAATACTAAAGTGGAATTATTTTTCTTTAAAAATAACTTCAATGCAGATAGTAAGTTGTAATTTGTGCAAGTATAAATTGCAAAATAATTTTCAGATAATTGTTTATATTCAAATATAGTCACATTTAACAATTTATCACAGAACAGAATGTTCTTATTTACCTGTCTTCTGCTGATGTCTATGCTTCTCTCCAATTCCATTTTAGCAGCTGTCAATTCTTGATGATGACTATGCCGTAATAAATCAATTGCAGCTGCATGCTGGTGATTTAGTTCTGAGCGTAAGGAAGCTGGAATCCAAGGAAAAAATGAGATTTAACATATTTTTGAAATATTAAAAATTTAGAGAGAAACGATGAAAGTCATAGAATATTTATTAGGGCATTAACATTTCATACATTTCTGCATGCTTCTCAAAATTATTACAGACTATGATGGAATATCAAGAATTAGAGATCATCTAATTTTGATGAGTATAAGAAAACTTTCAATTCAAATGGATCAAGGTATTTATAAATATGCTACCAAATTGTAAGTGAGGTGCTAAATAGAGATGGATATTTTTAAATCTCCTCATTCACTATTAGAATAATAGTGAATTGGACCATAGCATACCTGAAGGCAACTTCTCACCCAAACACAAATTCTTCTACAATATCCTTGAAAGAAGTTAAGCATGGATTGGCAAATGCTTTTAGTAATTTAGAAGTCATTGTTTTCCTTTCAATTTAGAATTGATACTTTCATACAACCCACATTTATTGAATATCATATATTGAACTAAGAGACAGAATAAAATATTACCCCATCCTTGTAACTGCCTGACCACAGAGGAAGACATCATGTGAGGAAATATAGTGGGCTATTAGAGATGATTAGTAAGTATAATAAAAGCACAGTGTTGCCAGCACCCGAATTTCCTTGGAGATAGAAGCTGGCAATGCTACCACAAAGGAACTATCACATAACTAGGTCAATAAGAATGAGAAGTAGTTCCCTAAGTAGAAAGAGAAAAGCATTCAGGAAGAAGAGGTAACATAAAAGCAGAAAGCACCTGATGTATCTAGCAAACTCTAATAGGTCTAGTGTTGCAGGAGTTCATGGTACATGTGCTCAAATTGGAAAGTAAAAGGAGCCCAATCTCTGAAAATTTTAGATAAAATGCTTTTTATTGGATGCTTAAAGCTCATGATTCTAAAACTGGGATATGTGGAGCAGTATGCCTGAGGGAACCTGTAGAGTACACACATCTCCAAAACATGAGTTTTACTTTGAAGGTGTTTGGGTAAGCAATTATTTTCCTATCAGTACAAAAGAGATATAAATGGAGTAAAATACAAATTATATAGTTTAAAGCTAAAGTGAAACTTCAAAGAAGTGCTGTGCTTATAGACTCCTTCTGAGACCTACACGTAGGGCATATGTACAGTCTCCCCTGGTGTTAAGGGGAGGAAACTCCCCTCCATGGAAAAACTTGACAGGTACTGAGGGAGGACATGGGAAATCACTGAAGGATTTAAAGTTGGGAAGTTACAGGGCACCTGGAAGATGGTCTACAAGAATGGGAGGTCATTGAGAAGTTTAGAGCAATAATCCAGGCAAGAAATCACAATACCATGAACCAAATATGGCAGAAGGACTAAAGAGGAAACATACACAGGGAATACTAAGAGGAAGAACAAAGATGGAAGTGAAAGAAAAGTTAAATTAACTCCCAGATCTCTGGTTTTGGTAACAGAGTAAATGATAGTACCATGAATCAAAGTCAGAGACACAAGAGTAGAAACACATTTTGGACCATAAGGGAGATGGTGAGCTCATATTTAAAACTGTAGGGGACGATTCACAATATACAACTATCTAACAGGAAGTGAGAAATATAAACTAATTCACAAGGAAAGCATATTGGTTTAGAAATGCATATCTGGAGTTACCAGTTACAGCTACAATAGATGGTAGTTCAAGCCATGGATGTGAGTCCAATTAATCAAGAACATTTCTGAGAAACAACAATATCTATTTAAGGAAAGTGGTGAATGAGATTAAAGAGCAGAGGTCAGAAAGTAGGAGTAGAGCTGATTTCAGTATACTGTTACAGACCCAAGGAGGGAAAACGATTCAAGGTCAAAGAGTTTGTATGATACAGAGTCAATAAGATGAGACCTAGTAAGTGAGAAACCTTTGGATTTAGAAATTCAAATCCAAATTGCTGAATCCAAAAATTAAAATCCAAATTGCTGAATCCAAATATTCAGCAGTAACTCAAGGAAAGTAATTTCTTTTTTAAGATTTATTTATTTATGCATAGAAGAATGGGGGTACAGGCCACAGATGCGGGGGGTGAGAGGATTCACCAGAGACAAAGTAGGGAACAGAACAGGCAGATTGGCTGAAATACAATGCTGAGGGGAGCAGCGGGTGAGTCAGGAGAGGTCTGCTGTGCCACGTGGATTGCTCCCTGGCTGGTCGGGGATCGAACTCATGCTGCAGAGGCTGTGGATAGCTTCATAGTGCTGTGCTTAATGCTTAACCCCTTGTGCCACCAGGGAGGCCCAAGGAAAGTAATTTCAATGGGACATTGGGGAAAAAATGTACACCAAGGGCTGCTGACAAAGAACTAGCAAATAGAATATATAGAAAACCCTGAAACTCAACAGTAAAAATATAAATAATCCAATTGGAAAAGAGGTATGTACTCAGTGCCATAAAAAGGAACAAAGTATTGCTTACATATACCAACCTGGATTAATCTCCAGAGAATTATGCTGAGTGTAAAAAAGTCAAGCCCAAAAGCTAACATAGTATATGATTCCACTTATATCATATTTAAAGAGACAACATTATAAAATGGAGAAGAAATGAATGGTTGCCAGAGGTTAAAGGTGGGGAAGAAAGGGCAGTTTAAGTGTGGCTTAAGGCAGAAGCAACAGGGAAGCTCATGGTCATGGGAATATTCTGTGTCTTGATCATATTGATGTCAAAATCCTGGTTGTACTATAGTTTGGGAAATTATTGCCATTAGGAAAAACTGGGTAAAGGGTTCAGAGGAGCTCTCTGCATTGCTTCTTACAATTTCATGTGAATCTGCAATTATCTTAAAACATTTAGTTTTTAAAAATCACAAAAATTTCTTTTGTCAACAAAAAGGTATTAAGTCATGTTTCAAAGAACTAAAGAACAAAGTTCTGAGACTTGGCCTCTCTTCTCACAACTGTGCAAAGTGTGTGCTCTCCTGGGGTCCCAATTCTACAAACGTTAACTCTGCAGTTGACTGGAAGCTACTTGAATGCAAAGACAGAACAGCAGTTCATTTTTTTAATTCTCCTTGCTTAACAGAGTCTATACCATGCAGGTAGGTTTTCCATTGATAAATTTTTGTACTTAATGAGATTTCCATCCTCACTATCACAATGGCTTTTATTTATTTTTTTAACTAAATTTTTTTTTTCCACAGTGGTTTCAAAAGAGCTATGTTAATTTGGCCTAGGATACCCAGATACAGAAATGATGAACTGGGTCAATTGGCTTTCCCCTCAAGGGTCAAAATATTCATAATACTCTGGTCTTCTTTGTTCCTAAGTCCTATTAGGAAAGAGTGTGCCACTGATGTGTGATAACATATGTTTAAATTAATAGAATTTGAAATAAAGCCAAACAGAAGGAAAATGATGCAGTAGGAAGAGTTACCAAATGACACTGCAAAAACTAACACAAAAACCCCTTCAAACACATATCCAATTTTTCTTCAAGATTCAACTCATCTTCTTGTAAAAAGGGTAATGATTTGAACAACTCAAAGATTAAAGTCTTATTTTAAAAAGCATGAAAAATATCTTAAACAAAATTCTCAAGTGGAAAATCCAATATGACTATCTACAAAAGTTTAAGGACACATGGCTCCCTGTGTAACTATTCTTTTTAGTCAGTGGACATTAGGAATTTCCAGGCCCCATTGGGACTCTTAATGAGCGGTGGAAGCACCAGTGGGTGTTGCTTACATAGCAGAGAACAGAGAATTTTGACAGGACCTCACTGTACTGCTTGTGTTCTAACCCACTCTACTCTACTTAGCTCTTCATCCAGTAACTTAAAATAAAATAATGTAAAACATTTATTCAATTTTATGTTTTAAAAATGAAAATTTTTTGATGTTGATTTCATGTTGAATTTTAAAGCAGAAGAATGTATAAATTAATATGACAGTATAAAAATACTTCCAAAATACCAAGCATAGCCTTTCCTTCATCTTCTAATTCGAATCGAAGAGTCTGAAGTTCCTGTTCCATTTCTACCCGAAAGCCCTCCATTGACTCTCTGTGTGCATCTTTTAATGACTGAAGTTCTGCTGAATGTTTTTGTTGCAAATGATTTTCAAGAGCCTAGAACAAGAGAAACATACTGAAATTATGATGCTAGAATACAGGAAGAAAATACAAACAAAACAGAAAATAACTTAAAACCATTTAAGAAAAAGGAGTAGCAATTCATTTTCTAGAAAATTGATATAATAATCATAAATAGAAAGTAGTAAGATCACTCTAGTAAAATAAGCTAATCAACATGAAAACAGTTTGACTCACTAAACTGTGTTTGAATTGAGATATGGAGTTTTTTCCTAAGGCAGTTTTCAAATAAAACTATTTTCTAAAACAATTAAGGGGTAGAAAACCACATGAAATTAATGAATAATTCCTCTCTGTGTAAAGACTTAGACTTAGAAAGGCAAGGAATAAAACATTAACAAGAAACAATTTCCTCCTGAAAGGAAAACGAGGTAAGGACTTTTTTTTTTTTAAGGTTTTTTTTTTAGATTTTTTTTTTTAATTTATTTTTATTTATTTATTTATACAAGCACTGGGTACAGTCAGAAGCATGGGAGGGTGAGAGAATTCACCAGAGCCAGAGCGGGGAGCAGAGCAGGCAGAAGGACCAAAGCACACTGCTGAGGGGAGCAGCGGGCAGCAGGAGAGGTCTGCGTGCCATATGGGACCCTCCTCCGGTGGCCCGGGAGCAGCCGGGGATCGAACCGGCACTGCAGAGGCTGCGGACAGCTTTGCAACCCAGCACTCAACCGCTGCGCCACCGGGGAGGCCCGAGGTAAGGACTTTTATAATGCCAGCCATAACAAATATTTTGTAGCTACTTTCTATAGTCATTCTTTGCTCCTGCATTTCTGTACAAAATTACAATCTCTAAGAAATGGTTACTGAAAAGTAAACTAAAGTCTTTCATGTGATTAATTTTAAAGACCTAGCCAGAGAGAAGACTACATGTGAAAAAGACAGACGATACAAGGCCACAGGAGGAAAAAAAGAAAATCCAATTTAGGATACTTCAAGTTTAGAGACTGAATTGTTCCAGAAAGGGTATTTCTTACCATAATCTAGAACATGGACGGTTTCTGAGAAAGACAGTATATATTTAACTATTGTAACACATGTGCTTGTTTACCATTACTCTAACATGTATATTCACTGAGTTGTAAGTATTTTAGTTCTGAAAAATAAAGCATACATAGCTTTGATGATATATCAGTCTCATTATGAACTTGGCATTATGATGACAAAGAGAAATAAAATGTTGGCCCCAGTCTAATTTGTCTGCTATTGTATGTAACTAGTAAAAATATTTAATCACCATGACCTCTACAGGAGTCATATCCCAGAAAACACATAGAAATAAAGATACATAATAATTTTCTTAAGAACGAAATTCTTAAGAATTTGAAGGCTAGCTACTGTGAGACTACTGAATTTATTCAATTTGATGTTTTAAAAATGAAAATATGTCACATTAAACTTACTCTTTGTTCTTTTTCTTTTTCTACTTCCATAGTTTGAAAGGCAAGGACATGTGCTTCTTTTAAAGATTTATGTCTTTGTTGATGTTGTTCCTCTAATTCTTCAAGCTCTTGTGTAAGTCGTTGTCGCTCTTGTGTAAACTGGGCTTGCAGTTGCTGCAAAGAAGTCTGAGACTGGGAAAGCTGCATCTCCAGATTCTGTTTCAGCAAGGAAATCTAGGCCACAAAATGGTACACAATGAAGAATAAACATAATGCATATTTTACAAATTGCCAATTTAAAGTAAAAAAAAAAAACATTTTGAAGACATAGGCTATAGTAAAATGATTGCCTTAAGCACTGGCACATTGGAGGTGGGTGAGTGAAGCTTGTGCACATGTGGAGGTGTGAAGTTGTACTCCCCAGATGAAGTTTTATAAAAAAAAAAAAAAAAAAAAGTCAATCAACAAAATTTGACTAAGAAAAGAACTGCCTTAAGAAAGTATTCACATAAAATGGTTTACAATAATCCATAGATATCATTGAGTGTTACTACTTTAATTCTATTTTTAATAGTTACACTCAAAATTGACTTTTAGTGACAGTAAGTTTGTAGCCTCTCTAAAGAACAATGAAACCCACATTAGAAAAACAATGAACATCTGTATTGCATTGCAATAAAAAATGACAGAATGAAGTAATAACAGAAGACTATTAACGCACTTATTAGGTTACAGTCATTTCAAGAAGATAGTATGAAAAGCTAAAATTCTTATTTATGAGCCAGTAAGACCATGGGCTCTGAGTTAAAATTCTAGCTCTACTACTTGCTAGTATCAACACCTAACTGAGCTTTGTGAGAATTAAGTGTACTACTACAGCGTAATCCACTTAGAAGTGTCCTCCCTTGGCAATCAGTAAGTCCTTAGTAAATGTTAACTAAGATTATTTGAGGGCTAAAAGACACTCTTTAGCAGATTTATCAATTTATAACTTAAAATGCTTGTGTAAAAAAAGTATTATTTATTTATTTTTTACATCATTGTTCATTTTTAAACAATATTTGCTTCCCCCCACCCCCTCAGGTGTAGTCATCATAGAATTTCCTTCACCAATGCACCCGTGCACCATCACCTCAGTCCCCTGTGTTCCTTCTTTCTTCCCTCTGATCCCTCTCCCTCCTCCTCCCCTGCAGTATGACTCCGAATTATAATTGTCTATTTTTGCTTTGTTGTGTTTTATTCTGTTGCTATTTTTTATACCAATGTCTTATTTGGTTCCCCTATATTCCTGCTAAAGTGAAACCATCTGATATTTTTCTTTTTCCTTCTGACTTATTTCACTGAGCATAATTCCTCTAGCTCCATCCACGTTGCTGTGAATGGCAACCTAACAACTCCTCAGGAAAGAAGCACACCACAAAAAGAAAACCACTCCCCAGATTGCAATGACAGCAACTTGGAAGAACTTCTGAGCCTTCCAGAAAGAGAATTTAAAATTGCCATGATTAAAAAAGTGATAGAAGTCATAAAGGAAAACAATGATCAGAAGAAGGAAATTGAGTCCCTAAAGAGGGAAAACAATGGTCAGAAGAATGAAATTGAGTCCCTAAAGAGGGAAGTAAAAGAAATGCAGATCAAAGAATTAATGGAGGAACTAAAGAACTCTGGGAAAAGCAATGAAAGCAGAATAGATGAAATGGAAGAACGAATAAGTACTCTTGAAGACACAGAAATAAAAAGAACCAAAACAGAAAAGGAAAGAGAAGTACGAAGGAAAAAGAATGAAGAAAGACTTCGGGAACTATCTGACTCCATGAGGAAAGGAAATATAAGAGTTATAGGAATTCCAGAAGGAGAGGAGAGAGATGTAGGAACAGAGAAAATATTCCAGGAGATAATTGAAGAGAACTTCCCAAATGCGAAGAAGGAGCTGAAAATTGATATACAAGAAGCAAGAAGAACACCAAACTTCCACAAAGAAAGGAAAAATACAGCAAGACACATAATAGTAAAGCTCCCAAGAATCCAGGACAAGGAAAAAATAATGAAGCTGACAAGAGGGAAGAAACAGATAACATTCAAAGGAAAACCAATCAGGCTGACATCAGACTTCTCTGAAGAAACACTACGGGCAAGGAGAGAGTGGAGGGACATAGTCAACAGACTCCAAGAAAACAGATGCCAACCAAGAATACTCTATCCCGCAAAGCTCTCCTTCCTCTATGAAGAAAGAATAAGGATCTTCCCAGACAAACAGAAACTCTGGAATTTCATTACGACTAAACCCCCACTCCAAAAAATACTACAAGGAATCCTAAAGCCAGAACCTCAGAGGGACGAATAACAACGAAAGAAGACCAAAAAAAAAAAAATTATTAAAAGAATAAATAAATAAAATCAAAGGAAAGACAAACACAATGGCAAATACAGAGACGAATTAGTGCCTATCCTTCACAAACTCTTCCAAAAAGTTGAGAAGGAAGGGACAATACCAAACACGTTCTATGAAGCCAATATTACACTAATACCAAAACCGAATAAGGACAACACAAAAAAGGAAAACTACAGGCCAATCTCCCTAATGAACACTGATGCAAAAATCCTTAATAAAATTTTAGCTATCAGAATCCAACAATGTATCCATAAGATAATTCACCACGACCAAGTAGGATTCATTCCAGGGACACAAGGATGGTTTAACATCCGAAAATCAATCAACGTTATCCAACACATCAACAAAAAGAAATATAAAAACCATATGATAATATCAATAGATGCTGAGAAAGCTTTAGACAAAGTGCAACACCCATTCATGATAAAAGCCCTTGAAATTCTTGGGATACAAGGAACATACCTCAACATCATAAAGGCCATCTATGACAAGCCAACAGCCAGTATCATTCTCAATGGTGAAAAGCTGAAAGCAATTCCATTAAGATCTGGAACAAGACAAGGATGTCCACTCTCACCACTGCTTTTCAATATAATACTGGAAGTCCTAGCCAGAGCAATAAGACAAGAGAAAGACATCCAAGGAATCCAAATAGGAAAAGAAGAAGTCAAACTATCACTATTTGCAGATGATATGATAATATACATAGAGAACCCCAAAAACTCCACAGAAAAACTAATTCAACTCATCAATCAATTCAGTAAAGTGGCAGGATACAAAATCAACACGCAAAAGTCAGTAGCCTTCCTATACACAAACAATAAATCTGAAGAAGAAGAAATCAAAAAAACCATCCCTTTTATTATCGAAACAAAAAAAATCAAATATTTGGGAATAAATCTAACAAAAGAGGTAAAGGACCTATACAAAGAAAACTATAAAGCACTGTTAAAAGAAATAGAAGAAGACACAAAGAAATGGAAAGACATCCCCTGCTCATGGATTGGAAGAATAAACATTATTAAAATGGCCATCCTACCAAAAGCAATATACAGATTCAATGCTATTCCAATCAAAATTTCAATGTCATTCTTCAAAGAAATAGAACAATTATTGATGAAATTCATATGGAATCACAAAAAACCCCGAATAGCCAAAGCTCTCCTGAAAAAAAAAGAAGGGAATGGAGGCATCACACTCCCAGACTTCAAACTATATTACAAAGCCATAATCATCAAAACTGCATGGTATTGGAACAAGAACAGACATACAGACCAATGGAATCGAATAGAAAATCCAGAAATAAACCCACAGATTTATGGTCAACTAATCTTTGACAAAGGAGCAAAGAATATGCATTGGAGCAAAGAAAATCTGTTCAATAAATGGTGCTGGGAAAACTGGGCCGCTACATGCAAAAGAATGAAGCTTGACTAGTACCTCACACCATACACAAAAACCAACTCAAAATGGATTAAAGAACTAGACATAAAACCTGAAACCATAAAATACATAGAAGGAAATACAGGCGAAACACTACGTGATTTGCACATCAAAGACATCTTTACAGACACATCACCCAAAGCAGTGATAGTGAAGGCAAAGATAAACAGCTGGGACTACATCAAATTAAAGAGCTTCTGCACAGCAAAAGAGACAATAACAAAAACAAAGAGAAACCCCACCAACTGGGAGAACATTTTTGCACACAACACTAATGATAAAGGACTGATCACAAAAATCTGCAAAGAGCTGATGAGACTCAACAACAACGTAGAAAATAATCCAGTCAAAAAATGGGCAGAAGAGCTAAAAAGAAACTTCTCTGAAGAGGAAATGCAAATGGCCAACAGGCATATGAAAAAATGTTCAACATCACTTGTAATCAGGGAAATGCAAATCAAAACTACCATGAGATACCATCTTACACCAGTGAGAATGGCACATATTAAAAAAACTAGCAACAACAAATGTTGGTGAGGGTGTGGAGAAAAAGGAACTCTTCTGCACTGTTGGTGGGAGTGCAAACTGGTCCAACCACTGTGGAGAGCTGTGTGGAGATTTCTGGACCTACTAAACATAGAGCTTCCATATGATCCAGCAATTCCACTCCTAGGTATTTACCCAAAGGACACAGAAACATCAAATCCAAAGAACACCTGCACCCCTATGTTTATAGCAGCACTGTTTACAATAGCTAAGCTTTGGAAACAGCCCAAATGCCCAAAAATAGATGACTGGATCAAGAAGATGTGGTACATATACACCATGGAATATTACTCAGCATTCAAAAAAGATAAACACATGCAATTTGCAGCAACATGGATGGCGTTGGAAGGGATCATGCTCAGCGAAATAAGACAAAAAGAAAAAGAAAAATACCGGATGGTCTCACTCATAGCAGGAATCTAGAAAACTTAAATAAGGGACCAGGAAAATGAATATAAGAAAGTGAAAATCAAAATCAACAAAAAACTATGAACCAGAGACACTTTTGGGGGTGGGGGGCGGGAGGGGAGGGATTGGGGTCAGAATGGGGCGTTTGCAATTGTATGGGGGAATATAAAAATAAAATTTATTATTTAAATTAAAAAAATAAAAATAAAATAATAAAAAAAAGACACAATCAATTATTGTGATGGTTAATTTTATGTGCCAATTTGACTGAGCTTTGCAGTTCTGTTATTTGGTCAACCATGAGTCTAGAGTTGATGTGAAGATATTTTTAAAATGTGAAAAATAAATAAATAAATAAATAAATGAATAAATGAATAAATAAATAAAAATAAAAACCTAAACAGCATTAAATAATCTCTCCTGTTTGAGTAAATATGCTTACATT